AACAGTTTCCAAGGAATCGACCTTCTTAAACTCGCTCAGCTTCAAAAAGAAGACATTGATCCTCAGCATGAGTTATCCTCGACAACTCTTAAACTACGTATTAAGCAGGTGGGAATAGGTAAGGGAACCTTACTCTGTGACACATCTACAGGTAGGGATCGTCCAATTGTACCAAAACATTACCGACGCAACGTCATCATTACGTTGCACAATCTTTCTCATCCAGGTGCTCGTGCAACAGTCAAACTTATAGCCGAACGATTTTGTTGGCCTGGCATGAATAAAGACGTGAGGGAGTGGGCGCGCTCCTGTGTAAGCTGTCAGAAATCTAAGGTCATAAGACATAACAAATGTCCCTTAGGCTCTTTCAAAACCCCTGACGCTCGTTTCGACCACGTCCATCTAGATTTGGTAGGACCCTTACCCGACTCGAAAGGATACTCATATCTCCTAAAATGCGTAGACCGTTTCACTCGATGGCTAGAAGCAGTACCGATTAAGGACATTACTTCTGAAACCGCGGCCCGCGCTTTCGTCGAACGATGGGTAGCAAATTTCGGCTGCCCTTCCACAATCACTACAGACCGCGGACGCCAGTTCGAATCTGGACTTTTCCGTTGTCTAACCTCACTTTTAGGAATCACGCACTTCCGAACGACCGCCTACCACCCACAAGCAAATGGGTTGGTAGAACGTTTTCATCGACAACTAAAAGCCTCATTATCAGCTTCAAACGTTTCACAATGGACAGGCGCTCTTCCACTCGTCTTGCTAGGTATCCGCAATGCAGTGAAAGCTGACATTGGATACACGGCATCTCAACTCGTTTACGGAACGACACTCCGACTCCCAGGAGAATTCGTGGATCCTTCAGCTTCTTCATTGAACATGGATCTAAACTCTTACACGAGTAGGCTTACAAACGCTATGCGTTCAGTTAAACCTGCTCACACTCGACCTCAATCAACTGATGTTTTCGTTCAACCCGAATCACGACATAGTACACACGTCTTCGTTCGTCGAGACTCACATCGACGACCCCTCGAATCAGCATACAAAGGACCCTTCAAAGTTCTTCAACGCGAACCTAAGTACTATGTAGTCGATAAGAATGGTGCGAAAGATAGCATCAGTATCGATCGACTCAAAGCTGCGTACCTAGAAGGAAACCCTAGCTACGTCGATTTTCCTTCGGTACAAACAAACGACACAGCTACTACACTCGTAGTACCCTACACGACAACCGACACACACCTTGATTCTTCACCAACGACAGTAGATAAACCTAAAACAACGCATTCTGGAAGACGAGTAAGATTTACAGAACATCTTAACGAATATTGCACGTAGGACATAAGCTTTGCCTTGAATTACCCTTTCATAGTTTATTATAAATTTTTTTTAATATGCTCATTTTTTATTTATATAAAAAAACAAAAAAAACAAAACATTTATTATTTTTTTGAACGTATATATATATATATTTATATATTAAAAAAAACCCAAAAGAAAACCATTTTTTTCCGATCGCTTTTACGCTGTTTGTAAGTGTATTAGTTCATTTTTTCCGCTCATCTTGTGTCCTTACGCAAGTACGAGTGTATTTTCGACATGCACTCACACGTTTTATTTTTCCTGTTTTCCAGAACGGCTGGAAAAGAACGACGAAGTTTCGCAAGGAACCGGAATTTTTCATTGTACTATATTTCTTTATTGCTATGTTGTGCATTTTGGTCCCATAGTTTAAGGAAAGACGACCAGACGCTGCTAAACGAAGCAAGCTATCAGAAGAGTGTTTACCAACGACAAACTCGTTGGGTTTAAACTTCTGACTGGTCACGTCTTAGGGGCATCACTACTTCACTAGTGGGGGAGTGATCTGTAGCTGTAAATAATTCCCCAAAATCAATAGCTCATTAAGTGTTCGACATTGGATACTGACCACGTTGTTTAAGTGGAGTTGTTTAGCTGAAGGCTTTCGGTCATGCATCCGCACCAGATCACGTTTCAACACGGGGTGGGACACAGCTCCTACGTTTCATTAGCCAGCTTATAGAAAAGGTCCTCGATATATTGGTAGCGAATCAAATATATCTTTCCTGCCTCTTCTCATCTGACTTCTGATTTCTATCTGACTGGGAACAATCATATATAGAAGGTGCTACTGGTAACTAGTTGTAAAACTAGAATATCCGTTGCATCATCACTATATTTGTGCTAGAACAAACTTTAACTGTGTAGAGCGAAATGTATTGTTGATTTAGCAGTATTTGGGATGCCGGTTATCCTTTTATATATGATATATATTTATTCAGTACATAGTTTGTGTTTGGATATGGTTGAACGTGAGTAGCTTTAAAAGGCTCTGTGAGCTAGAAATAAGAAAGTAGCTTCGTCTAGTCGAACAAACTTCGGCTTATTTCATAGTTCTCCGCATTCATTATAAATATTAAAATTTTGTTCTTTACAACAAAACAGATGGTGAAATCTCAATACTGTCATGAAGTATTTTAGACATAAAATTCAATGACATTCATGACCTAACTCCCATCATACTTTGAAACAATTCCAATGCATCTCCGGGAATTCTGGTGTTGCAAAATTGGCATTTTCTTTGGAAACTTGTCATAAAGTTTTGAATAGAATACTTTTACAATCCCTATTTGTGATTACATTTATATGCAATCTTCATATTTCAGGAACGCCAGTTATTAACGGTTACTTTGCTTGAGTGGTTATTGTTAGAAAGCACCTCATACCACGTCCAGAACTATTTAAAATATTTCTTCTCCTCGTAAATTGTATCTTCGCAAACAGGGTCTTGGAAATAAAATTGACCCATAACTAATCACTTATCCTGATGATATCAAATTCTGTACTGCTTTTAGAGATGGGGAGAAATTTTGCGAGCTCCAAAAGGACCACAAAAATTTGGAGATTTATATAAAGGACAACGGCTTGTTTATAGGCAATATCGTGTGGTACAATTAACAATCAGTGTTCGTTGTGATAACCCCCTATTAATTATCTACATAGGATACGACCGTGAATTACAATTCCACTATTTCTTCCTTAACCTAGTGTCCCAGACCTGATTAAGTGTACATCTTACCGGAGCCGCCCAACTTCAGCCGATGCTGTTCCTATTGATCTATTATCCTCAAACTTTTATCCGTACTCTGCATTCAGTGTAAAAATGCAGAAACTGGATCGCACTATATATCAAATATCAAGGGGGACCACAAATAAATTATTTGTTCTTTATTTTCTCTTGGCTGGGTTGGGTATTTGATACAGTGTAAATTATAAAGTGGGGTAGCACTATACGTACGGTCATGCCTGGATGCGCACCAACTTCACAACCAAGAGTTTCACAATCTTGACGAGTCAGTATGGTGCTCAGTAAGATTATCTACCACCTCGAGGTGCCTAGTTGGGGTCGTTTACAGGAGGCCCACTGCCGACATCGAATATGACAAACGTCTGCTGGAAGGATTAACTCGCTCTACGCGTCTTGGATTCTCTCATATCCTGATTCTAGGGGATTTCAATCTCCCTAGAATCAACTTCGTGGAACATACATACATTGGTGGTGCCAACTCTACTGAAGCTCTGTTCTTCAACCTTATCGGCGACCTGGGATTATTTGAAAATGTGAAATCGGCAACCCGTTGGAGAAACAGTCAGACGCCGTCACGCTTAGACTGGGTTTCAGAAAAGGTCATTCTTGTACGACCAACCTGCTGACTGCGGTGGATAAATGGACAACCATCCTTGATCGCAAGGGGAAGGTTGACGTCATCTACCTGGACTTCTCAAAAGCTTTTGATAGGGTCAACCATGCATGTCTTATCAAGAAGCTTGGACGATTGGGTATAAAACCCCCTTTAATTGACTGGATCACTTCATACCTAGAAAACCGACATTTTAAGGTCAGGGTTAACTTCACTCTCTCTCAGGCTATGGAATGTCCTAGTGGGTACCCCAGGGTTCAATACTAGGACCTCTTCTCTTCTTGATTTATATTAACGATCTTCCTCAACAAGTTTCATCTGATTTATTGCTTTTTGCTGATGATGTGAAACTTTGGAGGGAGATACGTACGCACAATGATATACTAGTTCTGCAGGAGGATCTGACTCGACTTCAAAGTTGGGCAGACAACAACGGACTTACCTTCAACACTTCAAAGTGCAAGGTAGTCCATCTGAGACATGTTGCAGACTATAGTTATAACTTAGGTAACTCCCCTCTAGAAGTTTCCCAAGTTGAAAAAGATTTAGGAGTGTTGGTACCCTACGACCTGAAATCGTATGCGAACTGTGACAAAAACGCCTCTCAAGCAAACCTTGCACTGGTAACATTGAAGCGCATTTTTGGCCAGTTTGACGGTAGAACCTTCCATATAATCTTCAACAGTTTTATTCGTCCCCACTTAGAGTACGGAAACATAGTATTTCCTCCCTCCCTCCAAAAGGATAAGGTCACTCTGGAACGTATACAACGTCGAGCCACGAAATCAGTTCGGGGTCTCAAATTCAAACCTTATGAAGAGCGCCTCAAATCACTTAACCTTTACCCGTTAGAGTATAGGCGTCTTAGAGGTGATCTTCTTATGACTTATAGTATCCTTAATACTTCTGGTCATCCCCTTAAACAACTTCTTAAGCTTAGTCATAACACTAATCTCAGAGGTAACACCCAGAAATTGGAGACCCTACATAGCAGAACAGACTGCAGACACAACTTCTACTCCGTTAGAGTTGTCAAGTGCTGGAATTCGCTGCCGACTGAGCTAGTCCAAGCGACCTCCCAGGAGTCCTTTAAGAGAAAACTTGACTTATTCTTAAGGACTAAGGATAACATATTATTATGATTTACCAAATTCTTTTTTTCCCTCTATTATCGTTCATATACCTAGGTTTTTGCCTGGAGGTATTGGTGATCCACTGCTATCAGACACGGAAGCCCGTTAATCGAAAGCTTCTTCTATTCCGTCCTCAACCATTTGAACCATTTGAACCATTTGAACCCGCTGCTTCCGATTGGATTCGTTACGCACATGCTTATTAGATTTTCGGTGAGTGTTTTACCAAGTTCTTTTTTCATAACCTATGAAAATGATCGTATTTTCCTTCCTGCTTTGTTAACTCCGTTCGTTCCTCTCATCTTCTTTATCATGGGATTATTTAATCATTTGAGTTTTATTACTTTTGTTGTCTAAGATCTGTGGTTCGAGCCAAAAATCTTAAAATATTTGTGCAACATAAGAGTACTGTGACATAAAGTACGCGTGTAATTAACTACTCTTTCGTGACTTCACAGTTATTTCATGTTTACAAATTTGCAGACGTCATTATTGACGTTCTGAAACTCCATCAGGCGATTTCGAGTTACCCATTCAACATTTGTATTGGTACAACTAGGAAAGAAGTAACCAGCTTCACAAGTAATTTATCTCTACATTTGCTCAATAAGTTTCAGTGTTGGGTTATAACATGACATGGGAGACCGTTTTCAACACGTCAGCCCAAGTTCGTAATAACGGAAATTAAAGACGGAGACCGAATTTAGGCGACAAATCTGTCCTCTTTAAGATATATTATTTCAGAAATATGTTCATCTTTGCGCCTTCATGTAAATCATTTGATAAAACGCCTCGGTGAGTAGGAGATTTAAACGTATTATGAAGTGGTCTACTGTTCATATGTAACGCCAGCTTATGCTAACCATTTTGACCAATATGTCACGTAATAAAGTCAGGTAAATAGCTACGCAATACTATTATGAATACAAAGGTTACTTAATACTACAAAGAATGAACTTTTCCTGAAGTATATTTGGAACGTGGGGTGATATTGAACTACAGTTTACCCGCAGTAGGGTTTATTACAGTGTCCGATTACGTAACTGGCCTGTTAAAATATGTTAAACTTGTACTGTCTATTTTTAACTTTAATTTACTTAATTCATAGATGAGCATGGATATTATCGTTATTTAGGAGTTCAAAACAATGATTTCTTATATTATGCTGCATTGTTGCCCTTCGGATTAGTGATATTTTTATAGTTGTTTTATAAATATAAGATTAAGCTACCACCAAATTTACTCCACTGAAAACCTCATCCAATAGGTTTGTTAACAACTCCAGATTCTATAAAAGCAGAAGATTTAATTCTTGTGATTATTATCTAGGTAAATGAATCTGGGATAATCCATTACCAAACCACCTCTGTTTTTAGTGTTAGTATCATCCGGTTAACGTTAGTGAGTAATTCGAAAACAGAAGCGACGTTTTGTAGGGTTGGATGTATATTTGCAAATATATATGATGACAATTTCATTCATAACTTGGCAGCTCAACTGCTAATATGCAATTTAAAGGCGCCCCCAAATGCCCTGGTACGGCCGAGAGTGGGAAGAGTCTACTCTCCCTCTCGAAATGCTCTCACATGGCCAGCGAATATATAGCCTCTGCCAGGGAAGTCCTACTCACTGCCTTATCGTGGCGGGGGTGTTGTTTACGAAAGTGAGAGGACGAAAAGCGAATGTCCGGCGCTTTAACCGGGTTGGTACATACGGAAAGTTCACCTTGGGGAGTTGAAAAACCCTCATTCCAAACCAATAGTGCACATAGGCTCCAGGATCCTGATGGAACGAATGGCGGAAGAACCTGTCATTGGTCGACGGCTACCATGGGACTGCATCTCCTCACGATGCTCCACTGCCTTGTGGATCAGACCTTTTGGTCAAAGGCTCGGGGTGTGGCCCCTTAAGAAAACCACCTGCTTCGGTTTGGGCACCCGGGCAGTATCACAGCCCACACACACAATAGTGTGGCGCATATGTACCTGGTGCCCTTTTGTACCAATATATGTGTTTAAATAAATAATAAATAAATAAATAATTTAAAGGCACCGAGTTTATCTTTGCTAAACTTATTGGTATAAGTTTTTGAAAGCGATAGGATTGCTTGGCTGGAAGCGAAATTGATGTGTTCGGTAATCCAAACTTTGGATTGTTAACTTTGTTTCACTTAATCTGTATGTTTGCGATATCCAAATCAACACAATTATACACGTGTTCAAACTATCGCTTGTATCCCTCTTTGCAAATAACTGAAAATACTACACTTACATTTATTACAGTCTGCTTATCTATTATACTCAACTGTTTACCTGACGTCAAAGCAAGCTGGTGAGTCACAGATGGTAGATTACCGTGACAGCTTCTCCGACAACATATTTTACCGGGTTAGTTTGTAATCGGACTCCTGACATTCATAAGTAAATCAGGAACCAATTTTCAGAACGGGTCCAAAATATATTTTGGTATCCCTGATTGCCGAATTGTTATTAATCATTTTCACTGGAATGGTGTTACTGTTTGCCTCTTTAAAGTTTATCTGATCATAGGTCCAAATTAAAATATTCTGAAGTAAGTAATTTAGTGAACGAGTTTATTTGTTTGCCGTTGTTATCAGAGGCCCAGTATGTGGATATTAAATACCACTGTATCGCGGATAATTTCAAGACAGGTTATTTATTTTTAACTACAAATTCAACTATGTGAACCGACAGGTCATTTGTTGTTAGAAAGTCAAATGTCCGGGAAAGAATCGCAGTTTTAAGAAATTCCATTTTCATCGTACCTCACCTTTTATGACTTGATATTTCATGATATATGAAGATATTTGACAGGTTAACTTTAATACGTTGGGTCATTATTCCCTTTTGTCCTCAAACTCTTACTTGGTTTTACGAAATTCATCCGATAACAGAAAAGAGACAAGTGGTATTTATTGGTTAGAAACATTCCGAGAGGGAAAGATAACTCTCCTCACTCTCGGCCGTACTAGGGCATTTGGGGGCAATGACTATCATGAATGCTATAATGCATCGCCTCCTGACGATGTTCTGACACGTTCTAAACTATCATCTTTATGTCCTCCTCCTATTAATTTAGATTTTCATTCACCTTTATGTACACTCGAGATAATTGATAATTTTGTTTCAAATAGTTACGATTTATGTATATTCTAATTTACTCATTTGGTAAATTACTTTTTCTCATTATATTTAGATCCTTGTATTAGTTTGACGGCTTCTTACTGATTATCTTAGATAATATAGATTGGTCTGAAAAAGCTTCATTTTAAAACGTAAAAGTACATTTTGGTGTGAAAACGAAAAAAAAATGGTTGAAAGATGGAATGCGAATTCTCCTGATATTCCTATTGTTTTCGAAATAAATGAAACAGCAAATTGGATTAGAAAAAATAAATTTACTAAGGTAATTAAACTGCATTTATATCCATGAGTTTTTTCTAGGTTGGATTACAATTTCCAGATGAACTTTTGGGTATATCAGTTGTTATATGTAGGCAATTGAATTCTATCGTTACTGATTGTCTATGTGTTATTCTCGGAGATAGTTCGTTTGCAAGGTGAGTGGGGTTTTTTATGAGGCCATTTGATTATCTGAGAGATTAATACTTAAATCTATGAATCCCTAGTTATGTTTCGGGTATTTTACACTATTCCGTTTGAATTTCTTTAACAAATATGATTTGTTTTTGTTAAAACCCATAGGAGGGAAGGGACTTTTTAAATTATAGACTATCCTGTTCGTTAAACTTTTGTGATTGTTCCCATGTTCATAAACAACTGATGTGTCAGCTATCGAAATCAATGGTTCATTTCAGTCTAAACTTTCAGTAACAGCTAATTAATAAATTAGATCTTACCTATACGCCTGTTGCTGTGTCAAAAAAAGTTAGGGTTGATATGTCAAGAACATTTTAAGTAACGTAGTTGCTGAAATGTCTGCTCTTACTTTACCGTTTTGCCTAAACCTTTAGAGAGATAAGTAAGAGTATTGGTCGTGTTTGTTCTTCCGTTTTTCCTACTCATCTTTTCATTGGCTGACGGATATCTTTATAAGGGATAACACTATCAGAGATTTCGCTATAAGTTATGAGAATTGGCAAAAGCCAAGTTGGTGTTTTCGAACTGTATCGAAATTTTGTCCAATACCAACCGTTTATGACTGATGAGACTACTAGGATAAGGAAATTAGTTGACGCACTCAACTACTTCACTCCTTATGGTTAATTTAGGTGATGATATAGATTGGCATAGAAGCAACATTTTGTATTTGAAGGGATAATCAAATACCGAACATACTTGAATTGTTTCTGAAGGAAGTCAGAATAGTGTACCCTGTCAGAGTAGTCACTAACTAGTACTGTATCATCTGGTTGTTTTAGTCATTAAGAGAATCTCCTGGTAAGAAACAGATCCCTGGAAAGTTAGAAGATAAAAGCATTACTTGTAAAAGAATACCTCTAACATTGTTCAATAAAAACGGCAAAAATCCGCGAGCATCACACACCATTCGAGGTTGTCACTCTTGATGACAGTTTGCCAAAAGACCCATCAGGATTATTGGTTTTCAAGTGTAAAGAACCTTTTAAAGTTTCATGTACTTTTCTATATACATCATTCAGGGAAATATACTGTTTCAACTCTACATCTTAGTAGTTATAAGTCGTTGAACGGTTTACTCCTTCTATAATACATGGATTTTTGTTGTATATCACTCTTTATGTACTAACATCGTTAAAGTTCTATCAATTAGGAATAAAACGAGTTGTATATAATTTCTCTGTTTCTCACCTGTTGTCCTTCAGGCGTGAGTTTTATTTATTTATTTAAACACATAAATATTGGTACAAAGGGGAATCAGAAATATATGCGCCATGCAAATCTCATTTGATTTGTATGAGGGCTATGATACGGTCCAGGTGTCCAAACTGAAGCTGGTGGTTTTCTTAAGGAGCCACACCCGGAGCCTTTGACTTAAACATTCTGAACCACAAGGCAGTGGAGCATCGTGAGGAGATGCAGTCCCATGGTAGCCGGTGACCAACGATTGATTCATACGCCATTTGTTCCCTCATGATATTGAAGCCCATGTGGAGCATTGTTTTGGAATCAGGGTTTTCCCACTCCCCTAGGTGTACTTTTCGTGTCCACCAAGCCGGTTAAAGCGCCTGACATTCCCTTTTCTTCCCCCCAATTTTGTAAACAACAGTAGTGGCACGAGAAGGTAGTGAGTAGGACTTCCTTGGCAGAGGCTATATACGCGTGACCATGTGAGAGCATTTCGAGAGAGGGTGGCCCTTCCCCACTCTCGGCTGTACCAGGGCATTTGGGGGCTCATAAAATTATTACAATTACTAAACCTTATTCAAATTCATTGTAAAACCATACATTTCTACTATGGTTGTGGTATTATCACTTTTTGACTATTGTTTCTTCTCATTCTCATTGTAAATTTATTTAAAAGGTCAGCTTACACAATTTATTCATTTCATATACTTCAGTTGTTGTGTTGATGAAATAGCTGGTGAACATATGAAAATCAATGCACTTATACATTATGGTCGAGCATGTCTATCTGAAACAACTGGACGTTTACCTGTTTATTATGTATTTGGCAAATATTCACCTTGTCAACTTCATAATGAAATTCAATCATTTAAACAAATTTCACATCAATTAATACAGACTATTTTATCCTATTCAGAAACGACTACTCCTACTACACCGCCAATCCTTCTTATTATGTATGATTTCCGTTTCAAAGATATTGCTCAATATATTTATAAAGAATTAGTGTCCATGAGTACTACCACTACTACTGCTACTACTACTGCTACTACTACTACTACTACTGCTACTAGTAATAGTAGTAGTTCACATAGTCCTAACTTATTACCAAAATTAATATGGTCTGAACCATATATTAATACATTAGATCACTCAGTAATAGAATCCTCAGACAATATGAATAATTCATGGATTCGTTGTGGACGATTTCTGATTCCTTATCAATTTGATTTGGATACTTTAAATAATAATAATAAACATAGTTGGATGATGTTATATATTGGACATACTAAAGAAAATGATAATGATCTGTTATCAGTTTATCGTATTCTACTTTGTTTACCTGAAATTGATCCATTGAAAACCATTTTATTTGATCCAATTAGTTGTGATTTAGATTTATCTGGTTTACAATTGAATAGATTATTAAAAAGAAGATCATATTTAATTGAAAAAGCTAAAGGTGCACAATATATTGGAATACTTGTAAGTTTTTATAGTTCGTACTCTTAAAGTTCATTCTTTAATGGTTGATTTGCCCCCAAATGCCCTTGTACGGCCGAGAGTGGGGAGAGTCCGCTCTCCCTCTGGAAATGCTCCTACTCACTGCCTTCTCGTGGCTTTACTGTTGTTTACGAAATTGAGAGGATGAAAAGAGAATGTCCGGCGCTTTAACCGGCTTGGTGGACACGAAAAGTACACCTAGGGGAGTGGGAAAACCCTAATTCCAAACCAATGGTGCACATGGGCTTCAATATCATGAGGGAACAAATGGCGTATGAATCAATCGTTGGTCACCGGCTACCATGGGACTGCATCTCCTCACGATGCTCCACTGCCTCGTGGATCAGATCTTTAGGTCAAAGGCTCCGGGTGTGGCTCCTTAAGAAAACCACCAGCTTCAGTTTGGGCACCTGTTCAGTATCGGAGCCCTCACACAAATCAAATGAAATTTGTGTAGCGTATATGTATTCGGTGCCCCTTTGTACCAATATTAATGTGTTCAAATAATAATAATAATAATAAATAACAGTTGATTCGCGTCTCCATGACACGTATATGGATCAATTCAAGTTATTATACCATATCAACATAGTCAGATCACACAGTTAGTCAGTCACAACGTAGAACTTCGTACGTACGTACATCAGTTCGAGTTGCCATGCCACATTAGCACAGAGATTCAGTTGTCGATTCAAATCCCATAGTGGTAGAAGTAGTAAGAGTATAAGCAGTAATCTGAAAGATTACAGTTTGAAGATGTTATTCATAGAGTATAATCCAGTGAAATAAATTCGGAAAGAGAAAAAAGAAAGGGACATGAAGAATTCAGAAGATTATAATTTGGCAAAACACAAAGAGTGGATGCACCTTTGCCATTGCAAATAATTTTGAGCCATGTCATTCATGGTCTCTAACCATCGATTGCTATCATCTCGCGCATCCCATTTTAAAGATCACATTGAAACTTTAATAATGTTTAGTTCATAGAGCCAAAATACGACAGTTTATAAATGGAGATGAATAGTATCTCAGTCGTTGAAATACTTAAGTTTCTGTCACTAGAACACAGGTTTAGAACTTACTTCCACTTGCTTTAATTTAGATCTATGAGTAGCATAAAAAATCCATCAAGGCTGTATTTTTGCTTATTTTTTCTAATACACGTAAAATATATAACCACTAGACAACCTACATAGTGTTGTTTATCGAGTATAAGAGTAAATTTATACAAAAATAGGGTATGAAGAGGTCTAAAAAGATGACGTGGTGTAGACAATATTTATATAACCATGTGACTACTATCATCGTCTACAGAATTAACGAATCAAACCGAAATTATTTCCTTCATTATTGGTCATAATAATATTTGTGTGTGGGCTAAGATACTGTTCAGGTTCTCAGACTAAAGCAGGTGATTATATTAACAGATAACTCCCCGAGCCTTTGAACTAGAGATCTACTCCACAAGGCAGTGTTCAGTCAGTCAGTCAGCTACAACGTAGGACCAGGCACATATATGCATCAGTCCAAGTTGCCATACCTCGTTAGCACAACAAGATGAACACCGGATTCATAGAAGTAGTTAATTTAGTGGTGGTAGTATATAAAAGAAAGGTTGTATATAAGGATATAGTACAGGAAGAAAGACAGATATGAAGCAAGTTTAATCTCATAGTTTAAGGGAAGATGAAGAGTGTATACACCTACACCATTGTGATCGAAATGGGTTCATATGCCATTCATTTACTCAAGATATTTGCGTCCGTTTACACCATTGGTTTAAACCCAGGGTTTACCAACTTCCCCAGTTTAAGCTTTCCATCCTCTTAACTTGGTAAAAACATACTACCGCGTGAAGGTAGTAGATTGAATTGCCATGTCAGACGCTATACACACATAAATACATGACGGAATTTCAAGCAGTGTACCAAAAATTACCTATTCTCAACCATACCAAGACATTTAGGTTTTAATCAATATTCTGTACACTTTGTCAGTGAATTACTTTCAACAAAAAATTTACTTGTATCCTTTGATATTGGTGGACACGGCGGGTCCACCTAGGGGAGTGGGAAAACCCTGATTCCACACCAATGCTCCACATGGGCTTCAATATCATGAGGGAACAAATGGCGTATGAATCAATCGTTGGTCACCGGCTACCATGGGACTGCATCTCCTCACGATGCTCCACTGCCTTGTGGTTCAGAATGTTTAAGTCAAAGGCTCCGGGTGTGGCTCCTTAAGAAAACCACCAGCTTCAGTTTGGACACCTGGACCGTATCATAGCCCTCATACAAATCAAATGAGATTTGCATGGCGCATATATTTCTGATTCCCCTTTGTACCAATATTTATGTGTTTAAATAAAAGCAAAATCAAATCCTTTGATGTTCTTCTCTTAAATTTCGGTTTTTTCCCCTTTATCTCTCTTTACCCTTCCCCCCCTTCAAAAGATTTGCACATTATCGATTAAACATTATCAACATATTATTGATCGTTTAAAATCATTATTACACTATGCAAAACGTTCATGTATCACATTAATTGTTGGTCGATTAAATCCAGAAAAATTAGCTAATTTACCTGAATTACAATTATTAATTATAATAGCATGTTCTGAGACAAGTTTATTAGATTCAAATGATTTTCATATACCAGTTATAACGCCATTTGAAATGGAATGTGCTATACGTTCATGTTATATGAATGAACATTTATTATTATATGATGAACGTACATGGACAGCAGAAAAATTTTGGGTAGATTTTCATGATTTATTACCAGGTAAGTTGAATATTGATTGTTTGTTTGTTTTGTTTATTCCACAAGTTATTTGTGTACTTAAATTGGTCCTGGTACGACCGAGAGTTGGGGGGGGGGAGTCCGCCTTCCCTCTCGAAATGCTCTCACGTGGCCACGCGTATATAACCTCTGTCAAGGAAGTCCTACTCACTGCTTTCTCGTGGCGAGGGTGTTGTTTACGAAATTGAGAAGACGATAAGCGAGAGTGCGGAGCTTCAACTAGGTTAATGGACACTACGAGTCCACCTACGGGAGTTGGAAAACTCCCATTCCAAACGAATGGTGCACGTGGGCTCCAGTATCCTGAAGGAACAAATAGCGAATGAATCTGCCGTTGGTCACCGACTTCCATGGGACTGCATCTCCTCACGATGCTCCATTGCCTTGTGGATCAGACTTTCAGGTCAAAGGCCCCAGGTGTGGCCCCTTAAGAAAACCACCTGCTTCAGTTTGGGCACGCGGGCAGTATCACAGCTGTCACACAAATCGAATGAAATTTGTGCGGCGCATATGTATTGGGTTCCCCTTTATACCAATATTTATGTGATCAAATAAATAAATAAATAAGTGTATGTTTAGGATACTACACTTTGTGTTAATGTTAAGGTTTTACCTATTTGGGACTTGTCTGAACAATATCCTACATTGTTAAATTTGATGTTGATCATGTGCAGTAGAACTGTGATATTATCATTGGAATAGTTCAGTGGTTAATGTGTTAAGCAACGAAGCTTCCTGACATAGGTTCGAATCCTACTGAGAGCGTCAATCCCTTCAAAACTACAGATACGCCTTGTTGAAGATTGGTAATTAGCACTAAACCTAAAGTAAACAGGGTTTCCTACTGACTACTTTTATCCTCCTAACATCTAAGCATAATACATGTGATGTCGAGTCACTTTGACTAGTGGTCACGTTTAAACTTAAATATTTAAGATTTAGTCAGTACTAAAAGATTTAACAAACATAACATTAATCACTTCTCATTGATCAATTCATTGTAAGTTATTCAGTGTACACTTTTTAATTTTCTTCAGGTGGTCGAGCTTATATACCTCTAGAGAATGTTATTCCACAAGTAACTGAATCATTCGCTATTGTTTCATTAATTAATGGACATAGCCATTTAATTCCAGAAAATAAGCCTCATACTGATTCAAATCATGACAAAGATAATTCTCAATCATTAATAGTTCGATCATCAGGTGAATTAATTGATTTCAGTCAATGGAATTTAAACTCTCGTCGAACATGGTATGGTTTAGATCCGAAAATTGGTCAAACACCTATAGCACAAATAAAAGATGGTCGTACTGGTTTACCAATACAGTATATAGATGAAAAGAACGTTCAATCATCCGATTAATTATCATTATATACTTCGATCCACTGACCCGTTGACAGTTTGGCTTTGTACATAAAATTCTGATATTGGAATGTTTGTCATGTTGAGATGATTTACTAGAATATTTATTTTGTTTATTTTATGTTAGTTCTTGATAGTGGAGGGTGGGTGGGGTTAATGCAAAATAATATCAGCTAGAGAGAAATAGGCAGTACTGAATAGCTAATTTGTTTCTTTTAGGTTATTCTTCAGCAGTACGCTCATATGGTCGATTACTTATCAGGATTCAGATCTTTTGGTAAACGTAGTCCCTTAAGATCATTAAATAGGATTTATGTCTGTATGAAACTAGTCAATTATTCTCATAGTAGGATTCATATTTAAAGTCTTCTGTGAATTACTACGAAATTGAGAGGACGAAAAGCGAGTACCCGGCGCTTTAACCGGGTTGGTGGACACGGAAAGTTGACCTAGGGAAGTTGCAAAACCCTGATTCCAAACCAATGGTGCACATGGTCTTCAATATCATGAGAGAACAAATGGCGTATGAATCAATCGTTGATCACCGGCTACCATGGGACTGCATCTCCTCACGACGCTCCACTACCTTGTGGATCAGACTTTTAGGTCAAAGGACCCAGGTGTGGCCCCTTAAGAAAACCACCAGCTTCAGTTTGGACACCTGGGCAGTATCACAGCCCTCACGCAAATCGAATGAGATTTGTGCGGTGCATGTGTATCTGGTGCTTCCTTGTACCAATATTTATGTGTTTAAATAAATCAATCAATAATTACTCTCGAAACTATGGTAAAATGTTAGAAATGGTCTCCAAGTTCGTGTATTGGGTTGTTTTGTGATTGTTGTTGGTGGATGACAAATAAGATCTATTTATGTACAATGAAAGCAAGATCGGTCTGTATAATTCTGTGCCATATTTGATACTATCGTGATAGATGTATAGAGTCGGCTTTTGTGTTTATTTAACCAGATCAATCCGAGCTTAAAATATTCGGCGATTCTATGTCCTTTCAACGTTACTTTTGAAGAATTTCTTATATCTGATGGCAACACCATACTAGTAATACTGAATTAGTGACAACCATTTGTTTTGTTTTACAATTTTGGTACTCCAGCTTCTTTGGCTTGGATATACTTTACAGCTAGCACACCATGCAAATACCCAGTCGTTATACAAATAATAGTATTCAGTGAAACATAATTTATGTTCACCTATATTGAAATAAACCGTATGATTCTAGTGTTAAATTGTACTCTCAATTATAAATGTTATCATAGTTGTACAAATTCTGTAACTCGCCAGCTTAGGATATATTGATTATTTGGTCGAGCTAAATCTTAGGGATGGTTCCCAAAGTTACCTTGCAGATTACCAACCACTTGGTTCAAAATGGGATTGTCAACTAGTGTTAAGGATTAAAAGTCAAGATATGAAATTAGGGTTTTTATCACAAACTGGCATTATGCAAGGAACTTATGTAGGTGTATAGATGACCGTCGGTGTTCAGTGCCTAATAAAAGTGCCATATCTACCATTTCCTTATTGATTTAGTGTGTAAGTGTTGCATATGAGTGTAATTTTTACTTGGAATTTCATTTCAGTCATCCAAAGTTGCCTATATATGTCTTCTATGAACACAGCAGTGTAGCATATATATATGGAGATTTCAGTATTATCATAGTTGAAATCATGAGTCAATGGAAGCTAGACCATCATGGGAAACCTTAAAGCACTGGACAGCCGTTTCGTCCCATCGTGGGACTCCTCAGCATTACTCTGGTGCGAGACTGGTAGGTCATGGGTTGGAATCTCACGAGGCGGGATCGTGGATGCGCACTGCTGAGGAGTCCCACAATGGGACGAAACGGCCGTCCAGGTTTTCCATGGTGGTCTAGCTTCAATTGACTCATGATTTCAACTATGAAAAAATATATACCTAAATGTTCATGTTACATGTTATGGGTGAATTCGATTATAAAGGAGTTAGAAATAAAGAAATCATTAAGTAATATTTGCTGTCCTTATTTGTTTGGAAGTTTTACATCAAGAAGTAGTCTTAATCGACTATTAGAACCCATGAAGCGCTAGACAATTGTTTCGTCCTAATAATGGACTCCTTATTAATCCGGGTTCACAGATACACCGAGGATGGGAACCTGGATACACGGCGGTTCAATGTTGGATGCATGTTATCGAAGGATAATCATTTCCAGACCATTCTGTTCTCAATGGTTATCTAAATAAAGTCAGTTCATCATTTAAACTATAAAATACGAGTTGGACCGCCATTGAGGAACTGGATACATACTGCTGAGGAGTCCTATATTAGAATGAATCGACTGCCCAATACTTCCAAATTCTAAATAGTAATCTAACTTGGGTCGGCATATGATTTGAATGAAACCCAACAGTATCTACAACGTTATACTTAGAAATTGTAATACCATCACTGCACTAAATTGTTTAATGCGGTGATACTTTTATTTTTTCTGGTAATCACTAGTTAATATTGACTGACAGACAATTATGAATCTATGTTTATTTCTCATCACCAGTAATGTATATTTTCAGTATTACTTACTTACGCCTGTTACCCCTCGTTGAGGAGCATTCTCCATCAGACCCTGTCCTGGGCAATCGTTTCAAGTTAACATTCATCCTTTTCATATCTGCTTCTATTTCCCGGCGTAAAGTGTTTTTTGGCCTTCCTCTTTTCCGCTTCTCTTCCGAATTCCAAGCTTGGGATTGCCTCATGATGCACATTGGTGATTTCCCTAATGTATATCCTATCCACTTTCAATGTCTTTCGTTAATTTCCTCTTCAGCTGGACACTGGTTTGTTTTCTCCCATCGAACGCTGTTGCTGATGTTGAGTATCTTGCGTAAACAACTGTTTATAAATACTTTTACTTCTTGACGATGGCCGTAGTAGTTCTCCACGTTTCAGCTCCATACAGTAGAACTGTCTTGACGTTCGTATTGAAGATTCTCACTTTCAATATTACTGAAAGTTAATGCTCTTACTCATGTTCAGATTCATTACCTCCTCTTTCATAGTCAATTAATTCATGATCTCAACTATTGAAATTACTATATCCACAAAACTCTTTCTGATATTAAAGATATGATCATTAAGGATTGGATTAGTAACTGGAAAGAATTGCCCTAGATACAGATTACTGGTGAATGGCCCTATACTTCTCCATGAGCCGGTAACAAACGTAAGTGATTAACTATACAGTAAGAATATTGGTTAGTAATTAATAACCAATAAGTGTTAAGTTAAAAATTGATTAGTAAATAATGAAAAAACACATTGTGGTTTGTCTATTATAAATTATAATTTATTTAAGCATAATCCCTTATATGATATTTTTTAAAATTAGGAACCATTAATAGGTTACTCCAACTTATACTTCCTTACTTACTTACGCCTGTTACCCCTCGTGGAGGAGTATAGGTCAACTTATACTAATAACCAATAGAAAACAACCATGTCAAATTATATAACTTATATCATTTTATAAACAGTTTTAAGGAGGGGAGGGGAAGGGGAAACAAATGAGTACTCATTTGTTTAACCCCTCACCCCCCCTACACTTCCCCTTCTTGTCTATTAGTACTTATACAATATTAATAGTAATAAATTATTGATCATATATGTACTTTGATTAAAATCAGTAGTGTGTATAGTGAGGTAATGGTATATGACTAGATCATATTAAGATTGTGATCCGTTAGTTCTTTCTTTAAAGAGGAGACCATTTAACTTTTACTATTTAACCATCTCTTTTATATTCAATGTTCAATAATGAAGAAATGGTTTCATCATCATCATCATCTTATTTACCATTATGGGCATGGTATTATTTATATATAACAGGTATTATATTTCTATGTACATTATGTATATTATGTTATTTACAAAAATGGTTATGTTTTAAAATAATCATACGGAAACAATGGTGTAATAAAAATGCAATAGGTAAGTTACTATGTATATGTACTTGTTATGTAATGCTACATTCATGTTTGATTGATTCATTTATATATATATATATATATATACTACTTTAAAAGTAGATGATACTTGTAGCCCTAATGAGTTAGTGTCTGACGAAGATTCTTCATGGATTCGAAAAGATTGTTTGACTTTTGTTAACTTATGTCACCAAATGCTCTGGTATGGTCGAAAGTGGGAAGAGTCCGCTCTCCTTCTTGAAATGCTCTCAGATAGATACGCGTATATAGCCTTTATCAGAGAAGTTGGACTCACTGCTTTCGCTCACCACGGGTGTTGTTTACGAAATTGAGAGGACGAAAAGCGAATGTCCGGTGCTTTAACTAGGTTGATGCACACGAAAAGTTCACCTAGGGGATTCAGAAGACCCTGATTCCAAACCATTGGTGCACATGGGCTTCAGTAACCTGACAGAACAAATGCCATATGAATCAATCGTTGGTCACCGGCTACCATGGAACTACACCTCCTCACGATGCTCCACTGCCTTGTGGATGAGGTCTTTAGGTCAAATACTGCGGGTGTGGCTCCCTAAGAAAACCACCTGCTTCGGTTTGGGCACCTGGGCAATATCACAACCTCGATATAGCCTTAATTCACAACTATTATAAACAAAGATGGACAGTGGCTAGCAGTGAAACCCAGGACACGCGTTTTGTCCTATTTGTGACTCGAAAGCTGGATTCAAGCTAGCAATACCAACTGAATTTAAACTTCACCCAATCGCACAAGCAAGTGGCTATCAGGACTCAGTAGCTCAGTGGATAACGGGATGGCGTTTGGAGCGAAAGATACTGGGTTCGAGTCCTTGAGTGAGCACCATCATGTCTGGGATGCAGGTACATCCAGTTGACGAGTCCCAAATAGGACGAAACGTGTGTCCTAGATTCCACTGCTAGACACTGTCCATCTTTGCTTATCGACTAACTAGTTCATTTCTATAAAACTTCATGATCATCTCTCAATTTAAAACTTGTTGAGATGATGATCATTCGATTGACTCGTTCAATTCATTTAGAGAATGAAGTCACTTCATGCTTTAATTTTCTTTACAATATCATATGTAGACTGTTGTATTTGTGGGACTTTTTCAATATATTTCAAGTACCTTATGGAGACACGTTTAATAAGTATATTGCTGGTTGTTAAATCAAATTTCTAATCAATTTCTCATTACATATATGTATTACTTACTTACTTATTTACTCACGCCTTTTACTCCTAATGGAGGATAAGCCGACGACCAGCATTCTCTAACCCACTCTGTCATGGGACTTCCTTTCCAGTTCTATCCAGTTGTCGTTCATTCTTTTCATACCTGTTTCCATTTCTCGGCGTAATGTGTTCTTTCGTCTTCCTCTTTTCCTTTGGCCTTCAGGATTCCATGTGAGGGTTTGCCTTGTGATACAGTTGGGTTCTTTCCTCAATGTGTATTCTATCCTCTTCCAGAGCTTCTTCCTGATTTCTTTCTCAGTTGGAATCTGGTTTGTTCTGTCCCACAGTGGGTTTTTGCTGATAGTGTCTGACCAACGGATTTTGAGTGTTCTACCTAAACAACTGTTAACAAACACTTGTATGTTCTGAATGATAGTTTTCGTAGTTCTCCAAGTTTCCGCCCAATACAGTAGGACTGTGTTGATATTTGTATTGAAAGTTGTGAGTTTGATGTTGGTTGACAGACAGTTGTTTTGAGTTGCGTATTTCCTTCAGTTGTAGATATGCTACTCTGCTTTGTTGATTCGCGTCCACCATGTTCATCAATGATACTGCCCAGATATGTAAAGGTCTTGACATCCTGTAAACCTTCTCCATCAAGTGTAATTCGACTGATGCATGCTGTGTTGTGTTGGAGAATCTTGCTTTTCCCTTTGTGTATGCTCAGGCTTACTGCTGCTGAGGCCGCTGTCACACTGGTCTTCTTCTCCTGCATTTGTTGTTGCGTGTGTGATAGAAGATCTAGATCATCTGCGAAGTTTAAATCGTCCATCTGCATCCTAGCTGTCAGCTGTATCCCGTGCTTCCCTCCAGATGTTGGCGTCTTCATAATCCAGTCGATCATGAAGAGAAAGAGAAAGGGTGAGAGTAACCAACCTTACCTGACACCGGTCTTTACATCGAACGAGTCAATGAGTTGTCCTCCATGAATGATTTTGCAGTTTAATCCACCATAGTATTAGAATTACATATGATATTGACTATCTTCTCAGGTACACTGTAGTGTCGAAGTACATATATGTATATTCATTATTAAATTCTAGAATACATTCGTCTTTTCACAAATTTAGTAAAAGTGATCATACTACTTATAATAGACAAAATTTAAATTCAAATTTACTACTCGATTTAACAAAACTTGACAAGGTCATTTTTTCTAATGGATTTGAAGCAATTCAATAATCTGTCTTAAATTATGAAGTTAACATTAATTCATATATTATTATATAATGAGATACAAATCTAATACTGATTATATAGTTTACATAGAATAGATGAAATGTGGTTAATTGTGAAATCCATGATGTATGTGTCATCCATAAAACTCCCTTGTGATAATGATTGTATGCTCACTAGTGGATGGCTCCATGAGATATTTTCTGAAATTCTAGTGAGAAGCAGTAACCAGTAGAGTTCAACCAGGTCTGTTGGGAGATATCAACTCACGGTTGTGTTTACATTTACAAAGGTTGAAAGTGGCGCAATTTCTTGGATTAGTTGAAGTTAGACATTAACACGGTTGGATGCCGACTCAGTGGCCTAGAGGTTAAGCGCTCGCACGCGAGACTAGTAGATCCTGAGTCGGAATCTCGCGAGGTGGGATCGTGGATGCGCACTACTAAGGAGTCCCACAATAGGACGAAACGGCCATCCAGTGTTTGCAGATTTTCCATGGTGGTTTAGCTTCGATTAACTCATGATCTTAACTATGTGAAATATTTGATATTTGTCAACTGAACATGTTTGGATCCTAGAATTGAGGTTCACTCCGAGACCCGTATTCAAGACTCTAGTGAAGTACTACAAATCCGCTCTCCATCTGTCGCCTCGAAAAGCTTGTTCCACGTGCGCTTATCCGGGGACCCTGTGGCATCTTCGTCTGGTCTTGCTGGCGTTGGCGTCGCACTAAGCGCTAGGGCTGAGGCAGCACTAATCGATTGGATCCCCATTAACAGTCGGTTATGTGCTGTTAGATTAGAAAGTTCCATCAAAGTGAGAAGAAACCGGCGTGAGAAACGGTGTCTTTTCGTCATCTCCGCCTATGCTCCGACAGATTGCAGCCCGGATGCAATCAAGGATGAGTTTTACCATCAGTTAACAGTTCTTCTCCAGAAAGCGCGTTCGACAGATATTGTAGTACTAGCCGGAGACTTGAATGCACAGGTCGAGCGTCTAGGCACAGAAGAGAGTCGTCTAGGTGGCCGATGGGGACTTGTTGGTCGCAGGACAGATAACGGGGACCGTTTGCTGCAACTGTGCACAGACCACAACCTGTTTCTGGCCAGCACCAACTTCCGGCACAGTCATCGCCGGTGTGCCACCTGGCGTCCTCCCTCTGCATCCCAAGCCTGGACTCAGATTTATCACATCGCGATCAGCTACCGCTGGCGTGGTTATGTAAAAGACTGCCGCTCCTTTTGGAGTACCTATCTGGAGTCTGATCATGCCCTGGTCTGCGCCAATCTCACCTTACTTTTCAGTGGCCGAAGGATTGACCACCACCAACGGATTGATATTAGTAAACTGGCTGCAACTCCTGTTGCAAGTAAGTATCGAGCGGAGCTAGCCTCTAGGCTAGCTACCACCCCACCGAAAAGTATAGATGAGCATTGGTTGCATCTTCACGACGCCATGAAAATGGCGAGTAAAGCCGCTTGCGGCTTCGCGAAACGTCCCGCTTACAAGCACTGGGTCTCTTCTGGCTCCTTACAACTGATGGAAGCCCGTCGGTCTACTCCGGGTGACCGTGAGTTTGACCACAAACGAAGGCTGTTACGTAATGAAATTGGGCAAAGCTTGCGTAAGGACCGGGAAGCCTGGTGGTCGGAGCATGCTAATGAGATGGAAGCAGCAGCTGCATCTGGTAACTGCCGGAAGCTCTTCCAACTCATCCGAGCCACTGGCAGCAAGAAGTCTGGTGTGAGTGAAACAATCTACGAGGATGATGGGATGCCAATCGCTAACATCTGTTGACGTCTTGGACGATGGGCGGAATTTTTCGAAGGGCAGTTCAACTGGCCTGCTGCTCCGGCAACATCAACCAGCTTGTCCTGCCCCCCATGGCCGGTGACGACTGTTCCACCAAACGAGGCGGAAGTTCGCAAGGAACTCCAACTCTTGAAGCGCTACAAATCACCTGGCCCAGATGACTTACCTCCGGCTCTTTTTAAAGATGGTGGTGACTTTCTGACTAAGGAATTGACTGTGTTGTTTGGAAAGGTTTGGGAAGAAGAAAGTGTTCCCACATCATGGAATGAGTCAATAGTCGTCCCTATCTTTAAAAAGGGTTCGCGTTGTTCCTGCAATAACTACCGGGGGATAAGTCTACTTCCGATTGCGTCCAAACTATTGGCTTCTATCATTCTTCGTAGGTTGTTTAAAACCCGAGAACGATTGACTCGCGAGGAGCAGGCTGGTTTTCGTTCTGGTCGAGGATGCATTGATCACATCTTCACCCTCCGCCAAATGTTAGAACACCGTCATACTTATCGCAGGCCAACAATCGTAGTGTTTCTTGATATCAGGGCGGCCTTGGATTCGTTGGACAGGACTGTTCTCTGGGATTGTCTATTGAAGAAGGGTGTGCCTGAGAAGTTCATTAACATCTTAAAGGCCCTGTATACGAACACCTCAGGCAGAGTGAGGGCATACAACCACCTTTCTCCCTTGTTCCATTCGAGCAGTGGGGTTAGGCAGGGTTGCCCGATCTCACCATTCCTCTTCAACTTTGCCATCGACGACATCCTAGAAACAGCTCTGGTGGATGTAAGTAATGGCGGTGTGGATATGTTGCCTGGAGAACGACTTCTCGACCTTGAGTATGCGGATGATATTGTCTTACTGTGCGATAATGCCCAAGGCATGCAATCAGCACTTAATCAGTTGGCAATCAGTGTCCGCAGGTACGGCATGTGCTTTGCACCCTCCAAGTGCAAAGTACTCCTACAAGACTGGCAGGATTCTAATCCTGTACTCACCCTGGATGGTGAGCAGATCGAAGTAGTTGAGAAGTTCGTGTATCTAGGTAGCTATATAAGTGCTGGTGGTGGCGTGAGTGATGAGATTGATGCACTTATAAGGAAAGCCAGATCGGCTTATGCCAATCTGGGCCATCTTTGGCGCCTTCGTGATGTTAGTCTGGCTGTAAAAGGTCGGATCTACAACGCGTCGGTGAGAGCAGTTTTGCTCTATGCTTGTGAAACCTGGCCTCTCCGAGTTGAGGATGTTAGACGTCTCTCTGTGTTCGATCATCGTTGTCTCCGAAGGATTGCTGACATCCAGTGGCAACACCATGTTAGTAATGCAGAGGTTCGGCATCGTGTGTTCGGGCACAGAGACGATAATTCAATTGGTGTCACCATCTTGAAACACCGACTTCGGTGGCTTGGACATGTTTTACGAATGTCGTCCCAGAGACTTCCACGTCGTGCATTATTTGCCGACCCTGGGACTGGTTGGAAAAAGCGGAGAGGAGGTCAGTGTATGACATGGTGTCGTGGCATGAAAGAGAGCTGCAAAGGGCTAGCTTCTGTTGGTCCTTCACGACTCCTTGGTTGGGGTCCGATAGATGGTGCAACACAGTGGCTAGAGACGTTATCAGATATGGCTCAGAATAGAAACCAGTGGCGATCCTGCTGCAACCTTCTTTTACTTTCTACATAAAGTATGGTTCTTACTTTCCTATTTGAAAGAGTCTTCTGGTTGTACATTTTAGTCCGCCTTATCTTTTCATCCCTTCTCTTCCTACTTTCATTATTTTGTGTGGCGCATATGTACCTGGTGCCCTTTTGTACCAATATATATGTGTTTAAATAAATAAATAAATAATAAATCACTTCGTTATCGAAAATCAATACCCATCACTAAAAACGTTGATATTTTATCCATTCAGTTACTGATTCTATAGAGAATATAAACTATAGAATACAGGTGGATTCAACTGACCATTCCAAAATAAGATAAAACATGCATACTGAAGTTTTCTGTTAGCTAATTTCCATCTTCTAAGTATAAACTTTGTTTCATATTGACTATATCGAAGCTGTACGTGAAGGATACTGATATACCAAATAAGAGTGATCAAAAGTCAGTCAACTAGATAAACCAAATTCTTACAAATTCACTGATTGTAAGTGTAATTAAACTGTAAACCAAAATATGATCTGGTTAATAATCAACAGTAGATCGAGCCGATTTTGTAGGCCTTTACATAAGTTCAAAGATCTAATTATAGTTTTCAATTATGAATAGTTTAGGTGAGACTATCATTTATGGACGGACCGATCACATTTAGAATAACATGTTTTGGATTTTGGCACTAAATTCATTCATCTATTTGGCTAAATAGAGTTTTGGCATTATAGTTGATGTAAGTTCGTGATGAAAACTTACTTACGCCTATCACCCCTCGCGGAGGAGCATAGACCGCCCAACAGCATTCTCCACACAACGCTGTTCTGGGCAATCCTCTCTAGTTGCTATCCATCGTTTGTGTTCTTTGGCCTTCCTCTTTTCCGTTTCCCTTCCGGAATCCAAGTTAGGACTTGCCTCATGAAGCAGTTCAGTGATTTCCTCAATATATGCCCAATCGATTTCCAACGTCTTTTCCTAATTTCCTCTTCAGATGGAAGCTGATTTGTCCTATCGTGATGAAGAACCTGAATCTAATTCTTAACCTTAACCATCAACTTTATATCATAATTCGAATTCTTCATACTGGTTTATAACCGTCATTTTGTTCTAGTTATTAGGTGGGCACTTTCAAGGTCATTTTGGCCGCGCTCAAATGTTGTCCATAAATGATAGTCTCACCATGTATATTTCTGATGTTTCGTGTGACTACTTCAGAGTAAATAAATCAATAACTGAAATAAAATTAACACACACTTAATTACTACGAAGGAAACAGAACAGAATACTTTAAGTACAATGAAAATCATTATAGGTATAAACATGTCAGTCTTGGGCTATTTGTAGTCAAGGTAATTCTGTATGACATATCACTGTATTTATTTGTATATATGAAGTTGTAAGGTTGAAATTGAATGTCCTACGTGTTATGTGTAACCCCCCTTCAAACTGATTAATTGAGCTAGAAGACAAAAATGAAAGAGAAAATCTACTGGGTTACCGAATCACAAGCAAAAGATTTATTATCAGAAAGGGGATTTTGCGGAGATTTCAGTAATTTTATAGTTGAATTCATGAATCAATTGAAGCTAGACCACCATGGGAAACCTGAAAGCACTGGATGGCCGTTTCGTTTTAGTATCGGACTTGTCAACAGTGATCATCCATGATCCTACTTACAGGATTCAAACCCAGGACCTATCAGTCTCTTGCGCGAGCACTTAACTGATACACCACTGAACCGGCATCCAACAGCGTTAATGTCTAACTTCAATTAATCCACGAAATTGAGCAACCGTCCACTATTGTCTTCAGTGAGTTGAACTCCACTGGTTTATATATATAGCCATTAGAAAATTAGTCCATTTCTTAGCCAATCGTATGTCTTTGCCCTTCAGGTAATTTTTGTCATCAAGTGACCTTATTTGGCTACCGTGAGACTATAAATTTGTGGATGAACCAATCAGGTTTTGGATTTTGGCGCGAAATTCGTTCATCCATTTGTCTAAATACCATTTCGGCGCTATAGTTGTTGTCATTTCATAATGGAAACCATAAATTTAATTTCTTCACACTTATTTATAACCTTTATTGAGTTCCTAGTTTACAGGTGACCACTCTCAATGTCATTTTAGCATTGCTCAAAGGTCGTCCAACGAAAATTATAATCACACTGTAAAATGGGAAATATTCCACTTTGGACTTCTGTTGAGTTTGATCAATAAAAAAGTCATATGAATAATACACTTGTTTGACTATTTAAAATCAATATTCTTAGTTTAAAAAAATATATTCTGATATAAGATGGTGGTTGGAGGTGGTTAACAGGAAACCCTGGACCCGGGTTTCGTGCTACTTGGTACTCGTCAGCAAGGTGTACCTGTAATCTTGAGGAAACTGGTGCTCACGGATGCTGACGGATCCGATTCCGTGTCACTCAGCGTAACAGACGTTGCCATTGAGCTATTCGGGCCGTGACCGACCTCCTGTAGGACTGAGATGTGATATATCGAGAACTTAGATTTCTTAGTCTGTCGCGTAATACTTGAACATTCGAACGCCAGAACCCTCCCAAGTCACAAATCAGAAGACAAGTAGAAGGAATTTTATTTCCAAATAGTGTCGATTATGGTACGAAATTGTTAGATATTTATAGTTTTTAGTAGAAACAAAATCATCATTATAGTTATCCAATCCTCAGACAGGGAGTTAACAGCATTGTCCAATAGGGAAGCTACACGTAATGATTCTAGAATATTCTTCCCAAAGGTGATTGGATGGAATATGTTCGGCTCCTTCTGGGCTTCTTAGAGCTTCCTCGATTTCAATTGCGGACCATCCTCACAAGATGTAATATATATATATATATATATATATATATATATATATATATATATATATATACATATGTTCTGATCAAAAGTCAATGGCGCGAGACTGGTAGGTCCTGGGTTTGAATCCCACGAGGTGGGATCATGGATGCGCACTGCTGAGGAGTCCCACAATAGGACGAAATGGCCATCCAGTGCTTCCAGGTTTTCCATGGTGGTCTAGCTGCAATTGATTCATAATATCAACTATATCAAGTGTATAATTCGATTGGAACAGAAAGTTTATTTTGTAGCGGTAAATAAACCCCCAAAATCAATAACTCTGTAAGTGTTAGACATTGTATGCTGACCACATTAGTTTAAATGGACTCATCTAACTAAAGGCGCTCGGTCATGCATCCGCATCAGATCACCAGTGTGAACGCCGTGCTCAACTTCTCCTGAGATCGCTAGACAGTTTAGATCAGTCACTTTTCAATATATTGATAACCTATCAAATATATCTTCGAACCTCCTCGCTTCTGACTTTTGATTTCACTGTGTAGGCACGATCCAATTATCGAAGGTGTTGCTGGTTAGAGTATTGTCAAACTCTAAATACCTGTGGCATCTTTAATATACATATATGTTGATGTTTACTCCAGGACTCGAACCCAGTACCTTTCACTTCAAACGCCATCGCGTTATCCACTCAACTACTGAATCCTGATAGCCACTTGCTTGTACAATGGGGTGAAGTCTAAATTCACTTGGTCATTCTTTTAGCAATTTCCTTTAGTATGTGTTAATGAATGAAATTTTCAATGAACAAGAAATTCCAATCATAATTATTAGGGTCATCTCATAGTGTAAACAATCAATAAATGAAGTTTATATTAATATACAGAATTGCATGATAATGAATGAAATGGTTGGTAACTATAAAAGTTTTTTTCCATTTATGTTCATTGATTATTGAGTAGTGATGATATACATTATGGTTATCTTTTTATTAGTATATATTGAATTAGAAGAGAGTTAGGGGCAGTCAAACCAAAACGTAGCATCAGTGCTTGAAGTCACTAACTTCTAGTTTGGGCCATGTTGGTAGATTCAAACTACTTGGTTAGGGTCCACGTGACTATCGTAACCAATGGTTGGAGATTCTTGGTGATATGGCTCAGAATCGATCACAATGGTGTAGGTGTATACACTATTTATCATCTCTTAAACGGTGAGATTAAAATTGTTTCATATCTGTCTTCCTTCTTGTACTATATCCTTATATACAATCTTTCTTTTATATATTACCACCACTAAATTAATTACTTCTATGGATTCGGTGTTCCTCTTGTTGTGCTAACAAGGTATGGAAACTTGGACCGATACATATATGTGCCTGGTCATACATTGTAGCTGACTGACTGATCGAATTCTAATGATCAAGTTGTATAGTGACAGTCACTAGTTTAAGTATGAGAAAATCGTCTTTCGTTTAGACTTTGTACTAGTTGGCATTCAACAACTAGAAGTACTTACAGTTTTGGGAAGATTAGTATTCTCTGTAAGATTCAGACTGGTATCACCTAGCTTAATATTTCAAAACGTAGTCACTGAACTATTCAACCCTTGAGTGACTTCATGTTGGACGAATGCATTTACATTGATTAATCACCTGACATATTGTTTTTAGCACATTTTGCAGTTAGTCAAATCTGTCGATCAAATTACAATGTGGTAAATACAAGTCTAAATAACTGAACATTACTTTATTACTAACTTACGCCTGTTACTTCTAATGGAGCGTAGGCCGCTGACCAGCATTCTACAATCCACTCTGTCATGGGCCTTCCTTTCTATTTCTACCCAATTTTCGTTTATTCTTCTCATATCTGTCTCCATTTCTCGGCGTGATGTGTTCTTTGGTCTTCCTCCTCTCATTTGGCCTTGAGGATTCCATGTAAGGGCCTGTGAATTCCATTCAATTGATTATTCCACATGACATGACATATTTTTAGTATTAAGTATTTGGAGATAGGTATGACTGATTTACTAAGTCTTAAATCAATTAAGTGAACAAAACAATCTTAGTTGTCGTATTCTTGGAATATGGCTAGCAGTGAAACCTGGAATACACTTTATATTCTAAGCTACCGTGTAAGGAAATCTTTTGATTTGTACAACTAACGTGATATTAATTATTATGTTTTTGAATTATTGATGATAAAGATTGACCTCAATCTGCCTCTGTTGTCATGTTATCTTCTTGAATGAAGTTGTCTTTTAAGAAAATACGAACCAATCTTATACGGAAGATTTTGGACATGAAAGAAAGTCCTAGTCCTGGAACTTCTTTTTCGTACACTTCTTCGATCATATGCAGTCATATAACTTATGATAAATTTCCTGATAACTACGACATTTCAAGATCAGTGAGATGGAATTCAATGGTTCATTGATGTTTCAATTTTTATTAATGTGTGATATTATAGTACAATCTGATGTCGTTATCATCTCACCACCCTGAAACATGTAGTTGATTCTTCGAATTAAGGCTTTGCAGTAAAACTTTCTAAAGATCTAAATCATTGAACGAAACAGTGTTGATAACGAAAGTTTTGTAGAGTTCTACGAATGAAGTGACACCAACTGAAGAGTCATTGATAGCCTTAAAACACCAGAAGATTGTTTCGTTTAGGTTTAGGTTTATACAGTAACAGAGATACATAATTCCTTGTACGAATGAATCCAGAAATTTCAAATTATTATGGAAGCATTTATTTATTGTTCTTTTGTGTGTGTATGTGTCTGTAACCCTTGAAATGAACTGGAATAATAAAAAGAGTAAGTAAGATGGAATATATATGAATTATTGCTTTTGTCTTGTTGAGGTCACTAGTTCGTCTAAGTTTGAAAACCTGGGAGCACTGGAATGCTTTTTTCCCCGGTATGGAACTCCTTTGAAATGTTCATCTATGGTCAAACTCCTAAGAGACCTGAAAGTCTTGATCTCTATTCTCGGTTTGATCGTGGGCGCTAACTACTGAATTTATTTACTTATTGGTACAAATGGGCACCAAGTATATATACGCCACACAAATCTCATTAGATTTGTGTGAGGGCTGTGATATTGCCCGGGTGCACAAACCAAAGCAGGTAGTTTTCTTTGTGGGGCCACACCCGGAGCCTTTGACCTAAAGGTTTGATCCACGAGGCAGTGGAGCATCGTGAGGAAATGCAGTCCCATGGTAGCCAGTGACTTATAATTGGTTCATACGCCATTTGTTCCCTCATGATACTGGAGCTCATATGCACCATTTGTTCGGAATGAGGGTTTTCCAACTCCCCTAGCTGGACTTTTTGTGTTCACCCAGTTAAAGCGTCAGACATATTCTTTTTGTCCTCTCAATTTCGTAAACAACACACCCGATGCGAGAAGGCAGTGAATAGGATATCCCTAGTAGTGGTTGTATATGCATGGCTTGTGTGAGAGCATTTTGAGAGGGAGAGCGGACTCTCTCCAATCTCGACCGTACCAGGGTATTTGGCGGCAGTAAATGCAGACTAATTGGTTGGCTTTTCAGCACTTTCTAGTGGTTATCGAACTTAGATTCTTTTGTGGTCTTAATAAAATTTATCAATTTTATAACCCTCATACTAATCATCACATTCGCTTTGATAGCTAGAAGAGAGAGTTCAGCTAAAATATATTGATCTTTTTCTTTATCAAATGACTTTATTATTTAGTCAGTATCTTATGACTCCTTTTTGTTTAATCATAATGATAAACGTTATCAGTGTATGATTCAACATTTAACTAAACATCTGAAGAGCTAAATTATCTGAATGGATTAATAATTAACATCATAATTCACTTCATTTGGTATTGTGTGTTTGAATCTTTCCATTGATGTCTAGGACTGTAATTGACCGGTCTCTTATTACTAGCATATGTGCATATTGCTTCGATATCGCCTTAATTCACAAGCATTATAAGCAAAGATGTATAGTAGCTAGGAGTGGAATCCAGGATGCGTGTTTCTTCCTATTTGAGACTCGTCACTAGCTGGATGTACCTGCATTGTTCACTTGACTAGTTGAAATCCTAAACATCAATGGGAAGATTCAAACAAACAATACTAAGTGAATTTAAACTTCACCCCATTGTACAAGCAAGTGGCTATCAGGACTAAGTAACTGAGTAGATAACGTGATGGCGTTTGAAGCGAAAGTTACTGAGTTCGAGTTTCAGAGTGAACATCAACAAGTCTGAGTTGCAGGTACATCCAGCTAGTGACGAGTTCAAAATAGGACGAAAAGTGCGTCCTAGATCCCACTGCTAGCCATAATCCATCTTTACTTATAACAACATGATTGTTTAAACCTTAATTTATCGATCCAATTTGAGTTTATATTACTAACCTAATGAACTGTAACAAGTAATGATCATACTATATCTTGCTTAAATGAATACCAAATAGTATCAAGGTCATGATAATACATTACTGATTACTACTTAGTGATTACATTGAACATGTTATATGACTTCATCATTTCTATTACGTAATCAACATTACATTTTATAAATAAACTTTTTATACAATGTAACTCATTCAATAACCTACATTCATTTCATTTTAGATATGGATACTAATTTAATTGAATATACTAATAATAATCATAGTATTATGCAATAATTATAAATTCATTTCTTATTGTAAAGATCATTGAATTAAGCCTTTCAACTAAAGAGTTGTAAGAACATAGTGATTGTTTTTTTTTGTCTTGTTTGTTTCTTCTTTTGGATCAAAGTTATAACTAACCATGTTGGAATTGATAAAGACTAAAGCGTTATTAAATGTAATTGAATAGAAAACAGAAGGGGTTTTGTAGAGATATCAGTATTTTCATAATTGCAAGCGTGAGTCAATTGAAGCTAGACCACTATATGGAACCTGGAAGGACTGGCTTAATATCATAATCCTCAGCAGTGCGTATCTACGATCTTACTCGCAGAATTCCAATCCAAGATCTTCATTCTTGCGCGCGAACTCTTAACCTCTAGATCACTGGGCCTGTATCCAACGGTGTTAATGTCTAACTTCAACCAATCCACGGAATTGCACCATTGTCTTCAGTGAGTTACTGATATACTTGTTGCTATTAAGAGTTCATATTACTCGGTAAACGAAACGAAGGTCAATGACACAGTGACTCGAAAGACTAATCCTCAGCCCTGCTAACTAGATCAAGAAGTCTTGATGAGGCGTAGAGAATGTATTCTACAAGCACCCACAAAATACCATATCACTGAACATACAAATCAAGCTTATTTATACAATGATAGAAATGCCCTTGGGAGAGCCACAAATAGCGTACTAAAAAAATCCATCAACGAATGACAGTCAAGGAATTCCGAGTGGGAAATATAAGCTGTAGGTCAACTAAGCATTTCTAGGCGCGAAAACATGAAATTCAAATTTTCCGAATAAAATTACAAAATTAGGATTTTTCCCAAGCGAGTTCTGGGAATCTAACTTTTCCAACAGTTACTGCCTTACAACAGACACGGTTGAATTCCACTGGTCATAGCTTCTCACTAGAACTCCAGGGAAATACCTCATGAAGTCAGTCATTAGTGTGCACATTATTTATTTCAACACATAAATATTGGTACAAAGGTATACCAGATATATATGCGCCATACAAATCTCATTCGATTTGCTTGAGGGCTGTGATACTGCCCAAACTGAAGCAGGTGGTTTTCTTGGGGGACCACACCACCAGCCTTTCACCTAAAGGTAGTGGAGCATCGTGAGGAAATGCAGTCCCATGGTAGCCGGTGACCAACGATTCATTCATACGCCATTTGTTCCCTCAGGATACTGGAGCCCATATGCTCCATTAGTTTGGAATTGTGGTTTTCCAACTCCCTCAGGTGGACACTCCACATCCACCAACCCGGTTAAAGCGCCGGACATTCGCTTCTCGTTCTCTCAATTTCATAAACAACAGTAGTGCCACGAGAAGCCAGTTAGTAGGACTTCCCTGACAGAGGCTATATACTCGTGGCCGTATGAGAGCATTTTAAGAAGGAGAGAGAACTCTCTCCACTCTCGGCCGTACCAGGGCATTTGGGAGCCTGATGATTATTATCAGAAAGAAGTTTCGTGGAGATTATTTTATTTATTTGAAAATACACACACATTCTCTCACTTTAGTTCATTTGTCTTGTTATTTAAATACAATCAATAAGAGAAAGGGGGCATTACATGCATAATATACAAAAGAAAAAAGGTTTCATTGTAAAATAGAAATAATACCAAATAGAGAATAAGGGAAACAAAAAAAAATTTTCTTTTTTACAATATTATCATGAATAGACTAGAATTTTATCATAAATGAAGATCAAAAAAATCAATATTCCATGATCAAGATCTATTCAATAATTAATACAACACTGAAAAGGATCACAAAGAGGGGGGGGGATATACAATACATGTGAGTTAAACAAGTTATTTGATTTATGTATAGGTTATAATATTATCCCAGTACCCAGATCTAAGCAAGAAATATATCCAACAATAATACAATAATATTGTATACAATCTAATATAAGTCAGTCAATCAATCAGTTACAACGTAGAACTTCGTACGTACGTACATCAGTTCGATTTGTTATACCATATTAATACATCTAATATTATGAAACATTGAATAGTAAAAATAAAAGATAAAATTAAAATGTGCCAAAATAACGTTGACCAAAATGACTTGGTACAATTGGATGAATTTCTGATGTGACAATTCTCAATGCTGGATTACGTGTTAATACATTGATAAGACCTATGGGAATAATAACAATAATAAAAGGAATCAGTGAACTTCTTTACATAAATGATAATTGAGGAGTTTAAATAAGAATAATGTGTATGGCTCCCAAATGTCCTAGTACAGCTGAGAGTGGAGAGTTCGCTTTCTTTCCCCCAAATGCTCTCACACAGTCATGCGTATATAGCCTCTGCCAGGGAAGTCCTACTCACTGCCTTCTCACATCACGGGTGTTGTTTACGAAATTGAAAGGATGAAAAGCGAAAGCCTGGCGCTTTGACCGAGTTGGTGGACACGGATGGTCCACCTAGTGGAGCTGGAAAACCCTCATTCCAAACTAATGGTGCACATAGGCTCCAGGATCCTGACGGAACAAATGGCGTATGAATCAATCGTTGGTCACCGGATATCATGGGACTGCATCTCCTCACGATGTTCCGCTGACTTGTGGATCCGATCTTTAGGTCAAAGGCTCCGAGTGTAGCCCCATAAGAAAATCACCTGCTTCAGTTTGGGCACGTGGGCAGTATTACACCCCTCACACAATTCAAATGTGTTATGAGTGACGCATATGTATGTGGTGCCTCCTTGTACCAATATATTTATGTGTTTAAATAAATAAAGGATGTGATATGGTCAGTGAACGTCGACAGACAGATACAAATCTTACTAACTACTTGATGTGTGATTTTATTTCTGAACTCACTGAATGTAGACTGTTTGAAATGCTTTGTTTAGAGTAAAGTATTGTCTAGTCTTTATTCTAGTTCTTCATATTCAGTTGTGAATCGTGTATCTATTATAATGTGATAAAGTCTGTATACATTTCTTAGTTTTAAAAAAAGTGAATGCAGGACTGATAGTAAACGCCTTGAATATACTAATTACTTTAGTCATTTTCGGGAAGTTCCTTCAACCTCGATAAGTTGATGATGATGATGGGGAGAATCTTGATGCAGAATAAAATGTTCATCAACTGTGATGTAAATATAGTAACAATAATTACTTTACTTAATGGTATATGTTTGCCACAATATAGAATTCTTAGAATAAGAGGGTGGTATAGCTACGAAGTAAGTTGCACGAAAAGTAACTGATGACCATCATAAACTACAGTAATTGAGATAAATGATTCTTATGATCAGCTACATACAATCATGATGTGGTTAGCGTAGGAATGAAAAAAGACTAAGGATGATCAGGTCAAAGTACTGAGTTAGTGACTGTTGGATTTATTCGTTTCGGAGGAGATGGATGTGCAGAATTCATGATTGAGGTCTGTGTGACAATTATAAACGACAATTAGGGGAATTTATTGACGTGTATCGAATAAATGAATGGATTTACTATGCTTAATTTATCCCCAATCTATTAGTCGCAGTCTCTCACAATCACAACCACGTTTGGCTTCGTCTTGTATTATTTTTTTATATTTTATGGTATGATGCGGTCTGTTTTGCTTGTACGCAAATTATGTTTGTCTGAAATACATGATTCATTTAGTGGAAACTGATATTGTGTTTTGGAATCGAACGGTCAGGGTTAGGCAAGATGAACCAATAAGGACTCAAAGTTGACTCTAGGCCGCTAGTGATGGTTGACACGTCGTTGGTTTGGCACAGTGCCAAAGTCATACGTGATAATTAACAAGGCATAAGAACATAACAAAACTTTTAGAGTAGATCACTTATAATGGTAAACTATTTCTCATATTTTTCAAATTATACCTGATTTTCTTTGTGAATAGATTTGTTTTCATTCTACAAGTATCCTAATCAATATCACAAGCTTCCGTTAGAACTCTTAGAAATCTCGATGTAAATAATTGATGTGAGCAGTAAACTATTAGCGTACTGTAACTCATTTCAGTCAATCACAACGTAGAACTTCGTAAGTATGTATATCAGTTCAAGTTGCCGTACCACATTAACACAGAAATACAGTTGTCGATTCAAATTCCACAGTGGTGGAGGTAGTAAAAGTATAAGCATTGATGTGAAAGATTAGGGTTTGAAGATGTTATTCAAAGAGTATAATCCAGTGAAATAAATTTGGAAAGAGAAAAAACAAAGGGACATGAAGAATTCAGAAGATTAAGATTTGGTATAACACAAAGAGTGGATGCACCTGCATCATTAAAAACGATTTTGAGCCATATCATTCAAGGTCTTCAACCATCGGTTGCTATCATCTCGCGGATCCCAATCATGTAGTCTACACTTATCAGCATGCCTCAGTCCACTTGTCAATAACTTCAGGGATTTGTGAATGTTTTAGTCTGGGCGCCCCTAGCTTTCTTCCAACCTACTCCTACACCATAAAACATTGCACGTCGGGGCAGACTGTGTTTGGGTATAGGTAACACATATCCCAGCCTTCTCAATTGATGAAGTTTCACTACTTCACCAATCGATTTGCCATCCTTACCTAGTACCCGTTTCACTATAACCCAATCCTAAAGTAACATTTTGCACTTCGAGGGGGAGAATCGCATCTTCAACATGCCTGCATTGTTGCTTATAGTGGTCAGAAGACTCTGCATTTTGTCAGCGTTTTCACCAAATACAACAATGTCATCGGCGTATATACGATTCAACAGGAATTCAAAATTGAATAAACAAATCACTTCAAGACGACTTCACATTTAAATAATCTGAAATAAACCGAATTGAACATAAACTTGGATTAAAACGGGAAATCAAAAATTACAACTTACTTTGTGGTGATGTAAATAACGTAAGTAATATTACATTTTCTATAGGAACATTATAAGTTCTTAAAACATCCAAAGCTTTTAAAACAGTTACTCCAGTACCTAAAAAGATTATAACAGAATAGAATAGTTATAATTTTGAAGAAAAAAAAGAAAAACAACTCAATTGTTTCCATGGTTTTCAGTCAGTCAGTCAGCTACAACGTAGAATCAGCAAAACGGTTATCCAGTGCTTCCAGGTTTTTATTGGTTTATGATCTCAATTAAATTTAACAAACTTGCCCCCAAATGCCCTGGTACGGTCGAGCGGGGAGATTCCACTCTCCTTCTCGAAATGCTCTCACATGGCCACGCCTATATAGCTTCTGTTAGGGAAGTCCTACTCACTGCCTTCTCGTGGCATTACTGTTGTTTACAAAATCGAGAGGACGAAACGCGAATGTTTGGCGATTTAACCAGGTTGGTGCATACGGTGAGTCCAACTAAGGGAGTTGGAAAACCCCCATTCCAAACCAATGGTGCACGAGGGCTCCAGTATCCTGAGGGAATAAATGGCGTATGAATCAATCGTTGGTCACCGGATACCATGGGACTGCATCTCCTCACGATGCTTCAATATCTTGTGGATCAGAACTTTAGGTCAAAGACTCGGGTTGTGGTCTCCCAAGAAAACCACCTGCTTCAGTTTGGGCACGTGGGCAGTATCACAGCCCTCACACAAATCGAATGCGATTTGTGCGGCGCATATATATCAAGTGCCCCCTTGTACTAATATTTATGTGTTTAAATCAATAACTGTTAGGGATGAATATACTTCCTTTACCGACAACCGTTCAGGAGCTATTGTAATTAACTTGAATTCTTAAAAGATTGGTCGGTAAATTCAAGATATCTAACGATATCTATCCAAGCTGTGTAACTAATCAGCCAGAATATAATTACTTGGGATAATTTTAATATAATCTATTTAACTAGTGAAGGCGTATGTGATTGGTACTGAATCACATTGTTTTAACTTGAGGACTAGTAACAATACTTGATTGCAAATGTAATTGGAGTAGGGTTAAAACCTGTAATTTTTTCCTCAAAAGCCGAATGTTTTAGCTAACCAAACACAGCTCTACATCGATTTATGTGCTGGAATTCGGACTTTGGTTTTGCGTAGGGAATGTTAATACACTGGTAGGGTATCCAGATCAAAATAAATGATGAGAGCTTTAAATCTATAACTTAGTCATTTTAAGTTAAGCACTATAACAACTAAACCATTCATTAAAGTCCCAGTAGAAAGTACCAATTTCTATGGTTAGGTAGTGGGAACACAATGACAGAATAAGAGAATTCAGTCAGTCAGTCACAACGTAGAACTTCGTACGTACGTACATCAGTTCGAGTTGCCATACCACAGCATTAACACAAAGATGAAGTTGTCGATTCAAATCCTATAGTGGTAGAAGTAGTAAGAGTATAAGTATTATGTGAAAGCTTAGGGTTTGAAGATGCTATTCAAGGAGTATAATCCAGTGAAATAAATTTGGAAAGAGAAAAAGGATAGGGACATGAAGAATTCAAAAGGTTAGAATTCGAGAGAACACAAAGAGGGGATGCACCTTTGACATTGCAAACGATTTTGAGCCATGTCATTCAAGGTCTCTAACCATCAGTTGCTATCATCTCGCGAATCCCAACCAGGTAGTCTACACTTACTAACATGGCTCAGCCCAATTGTCAATGACTTCATGGATTTGCGCCACATTTCGATCTGGCCGCAATAATTCGCTTATTTCGCTTAATTCGAATAAGCGAATTATTTGGAGCTATATATATCGAGATCGAAACTTTTGAGGTTCACGAGCTTACATTATAACCCAAGTATTGTCGGAAGGTCTCAGGATGAAACAACTGAGAAAATTTCCCTCACAGTGTGACTTTGCATAGTTTCTGATCATTATTAAAATAAATCGGAAGAAATGTGAATCAATAAGGAAAAACATACCTAAAATAGGATACATTAATAGAACCTTTCTATTTTCAATATTTGGTGGAAATTTAGCATAATATACTTTAACATCGACTACATCGTTTTCTTTGGCTTTTTGTATCAATATCTTGCCAATACGCATAGATCTACAACAATCTCTTAGGCCACGTTCCATTGCTTCACCAGATCGCATAACAGATACACCACAATTTCCACGAAGAAAACTAATTCCTTGGTATGAATGTCCTGTGTAAATAAAGAGACAAACAAACGATGATATTAGACAGTACTATGTAAGTGGCGTGAGAAACTCAGTTATATATATATATATATATATATATATATATATTGTGAGCAACGATCCTCGTCAAACTTTTCGGTTCAAAAGAATGCTGTAACCTAATTTCATGCGCAGAGGTTTATACAGCTGGGTCGTGAGACAAATACTCTTTTGTGTAAGATCATATGATATATCTGCTTAGACCTACCTGATTGAAAGCAGTTATAAACTGTGATAACCTAGAATAATACGCTTCTGTTATAGAGCAGTCCGGTGTAAGTTGATTACCATTAAATTGATAGTAATTAATTTCGTTAATAGTTATATCACACTCATATATAAAGCGTTTGTACAAGAAGTGATTGTAGGTCGTTGGACCTAGGTTTAGTGCTAGTTAGCACTCTTCACCAAGGCGTATCAAAAATATTCATTACACTCCGTATGAGATTAGAACAGATAACGTTCAGATGCACAGTTAGATACGATACCACTGAGGTATTCGGGCAGCTATAAACCTCTTATGAAGATGAGATATTTACATTGATTGGTCAATTTATCGATACAATTCGATTAGTACTAAAGAATTATAAGAAAATGATAATGATCACCATCAAGTATTTGTTGAGTCGGCTTACAGTAAACTCTACCAGAGCCTCCAGAGGCTCATAAAGAGCCCTAACCAATCAGCGGCTAATTAGAAGCTATGCTACTAAAATAACGAGATCCTGATTAGCTGTTTAACACACTGCTACTATGGAAACTCAAGGTCTCTTAATTACTATAAAACCCCTGTATTTTCTGTACATGAATGAATCCTGTAGTAAAGCGCTTCCCTCATACTTTGTGCCTTTTCTTTGGTCTTCAAGTTGCTGTATAGTTCTAGCTCGGGGGTACGGAACTAGCTTAGGGAAGCAAATATAGCGTTCACAATCGGCCAGACGTAACAGTAATATATATATATATATATATATATATATATATATATATAACAACCCTAGATTGATGTATTCTTAAAATCCTATAATGTCATGATCAACAGGTATAAGGAATGAATATAACTGCCCCTGACAGATTTCAAACAATGTCAGTTAATATCTTAAAATACATATTAGTGTTATGGGATAGATTCTAACATGGAAATTCATACGTTTCAAAATGTACCAGACCAACAGTCAATAGCTTCATGGTCTGATGTTGTCTCTTAGTCTGCTCCTACCATTCTTTGGACTTATACGTATACCATTCGGAGTAGAATTAGAGTAACACATGTTCAAATCAAGTAAGTTGGAGACAACCTATATCATGATCAACAGACTGACCACTTTTACCTACGGTTCACGCTATTTTCTGCATTGCTCACTCAGTAGTTATAACATCTACGAGTAATGCTACAAAGAAAACTCGAGATAAAATACTGACAACTAACAGATGTCTTCTACTTTCATCAGCATTTTACAGTCGAGGAGAAATACATAGCGAAACACATGAAATTAAATATTTCCTCTGATGGGTAAATGGACACCACATTTGGATATGAAGGTTGATTAAACTATTAGCGTTTACAAGACAACTGAGAGTTAAATATAAACACAGACTTGTACGCGTGATGGAAAAATCTACCTGTGGGGGTCGTAACGCACACATTTTCATAAGGAAGTTGATTTAAGCCTTCTTCAACTACTAAACGTATCTGAAAGTAATAGGAAACAGTAATATTGATAAACAAACATACTAGACAATCTGCATTGAATAAGAATTCGTTTCTTGGAGTGTCTCTACAAGGATAAATAAAAAATATTAACTAAAGAACATACTTATTCCTTATAACTGTTTGCAAAACACGTAAATGATCCGATTGTGGAAGCAATATTATGTGCTTTGAAAATTTGGATAGTACATTATCCACTTCAATGTTATGTATTGATGACTGAAGTTCTTTCAATTTTAAATTTTCATTTTCACTTTCATCACTAACACATGAAGATGATTTAACCTTAAACCATGAATTGAAGGGTTAACAAAACAACTAACCTTAATATAGTGATGAGGCATATGAAATAAATATAACTAAGTGGGCACCGAGAACAATTACACTGCCACTACGACTAAGCTTTTAATGACGGTTGGGCTGAAAACGAGGAAAATAAATATTTTTAATCAGAAAATAGATTGGGACCATTTATTCTAATAGGTACATAGGATGAGCGCTTTTTGCCTTGGTGATAACAATGAATAAAACATATCCTCAGACAGATAGATCGTTTTAAGAAAAGAATAACACTTTATAATGTTTTCATAAATTAAGGCTTTTAAAGTGAACACCAAACCTTCACGCGATTTTCACTTTGGGACCCATTAAATCGGTTATGCAAAACGTGATAAAAAGGGATTCTCAGCGGTCTTAATAATTCTGACAAAATCGATTGACGATTCTAAGTCATCTTTATTTTCTTGAAATCTACACGAGTCTGGTATTTGATGGAGGAGTTCACCTAAATTCCCTCAACCTAGGACTTTTTTCCCAAAGTTCGTCCGAATCCGCACGAAACACACAAGTATTGGTAACTTGTTATGCTAATTTGAGATGGAACGTCTACTCATGAGTCAGAGAACAGAGGAAAACGGTGATATTAACGGCAACACGTAAAGCACAATTAGAAAAAATAAAACGACAGCAATCAAGGCATAGGAATTCGGAAAAATACTGTGATCAAGACAATTATGCCGTGTGACGTATGGTTCAGATCTTCGGACACATTATAATGGTTCTACAAAACCCCAAAATGGTTAGTTATATATCTATGCATTCAATTTTTTTAACAGAAAGAATATTTATGTAAATGTTAAAGCAAGCTTTATAGAGCTCTATTAATTTGCGGAGTTAAAAGACACGACCAATATAAGAGAAAAGCAACAAGTCTAGTGTATTTACTTTCATAAAACAAAGTTGTGTATTAGTATAATAGAAAAAACTAACCAATCAAGTACTCTGTCTAAGGAACGAAAATTCAGCAAACAAGCCTCGCAACCTTGCGAATTTTGAATCGAGCTCTTCAAATCTCAAAATCTGGTAGATTGATTTAGTAAATTATTTGACCTTTAGAGATCTTCATTTGGGTAGTAGGAAAGAGCTTTCGATTTCAAAATTTATACTTTTCGCCAATTACCTTCTGAAAGTGAAGAGCGAAGCAAATAATTCGATAATAGCGTAATTTAATGTAGAATAACAATGACATTGGTCAGCCTGTGTACTTGCCAGATTAAAAAGATTTGGCCTTCTTTTGAAAAACTCTAGGGGATGCTACGTCACTATCTGTTCTAAAAAGTATGTGCGCAGTTTACTGTTTGAAATTGCGAGTGATTGCGAATATTCTGTCATTTATACAGATATATTTGAATCCCTGTTAATTTGAAGGGCTGTAATTCCAAGAGACTTATTATATAAGTTTATCCTTGCTAGAAAAGCAAGAGTTGCATACTAATCTATCCGAAAACAGTACCATAAGGTTATAAGTGGGATACTGTAGCCGTAAATAAATCCCCAAAATCAATAACTCTGTAAGCGTTCGACGTTGGATTCTGACCACATTAGTTTTAGTAGACTCACCTAGCTGAAGGCGCTCGGTCATGCGTCCGCACCAGATCACCAGTGTGAACGCCGTGCTAAACTTCCCCTGAGATCGCTAGCCAGTTTAGATCAATCACTTCTCAATATATTGATAACCTATCAAATATATCCTCGAACCTCCTAGCTTCTGATTTTGATTTCACTGGGTGGGCACGATTCGATTGTAGAAGGTGTTACTGGTTAGAGTGTTGTCAAACTACAATACCTGTGGCGTTTTCATTGGTGAACCCGATGTGATCTGGTACACCAAACCGCAAACTGAGTCTGTTCCCTTTTGGAACTTCATAATTCACTGTTTTTCTTAACTTTTTATATATTTAGATATTTTTTCGATATTTCTGAAAATTTCTCTCTCGTTCCTCCCTATACTCGATATTAGCCATGACGGAACAGTTTCCTAAGTTAACGAAGGCCAAGCCTCTCACAACACGCTCGTTTCTCCTCGTTTCATCAGCAGAACGTAGCTACAGTCAGATCGAAAAGGAAGCATTGTCGATTATCTTTGCAATGAAAAAGTTCCACAAAATGTTATCTGGACGCCAGTTCACCCTACTAACTGACCAAAAACCATTATTAGCCATTGTTAGGTCGAAGAAAGGTATCCCGGTATATACAGCAGACTGCAACGGTGGGGAACTACACTCTTAGGTTATGACTTTAAGATTAAGTACCAGCCCACTACTGATTTCGGACAAGCAGACGCTTTGTCTAGACTGATTGGTTCGCGAGTAAAACATGAAGAAGATACATTGGTGGCAGCAATTGATACGGAAGCAGAAGTATATCGAGTATTAGAAGATGCAGTCGATGGCTTACCAGTCACTTTCAAAGCTATCAAAGAAGCCACGGTAAACGATAAGACATTAAGAGAAGTTAGTGGTTATCTCATAACCAGGTGGACGAACCGTCGTTTCCAAAGAGAGATGCTACAATATTTCCGCCGGCGAGACTCACTCATGATGGTCGACTCATGTATTATGTTTGGTGACAGAATTGTTGTTCCAAAAACATTACGCCACAGGGTTCTGAAACAATTCCCCAGCGGCCATCCCGGGATCAATAAGATGAAAGCGTTGGCTCGAAGCTATGCTTACTGGCCTACAATGGATCAACATATCGAATTCAAATGCCGCAATTGCTCATCGTGCCTGCAAGCAGCTAAAAATCCAAAGAAGTGTGAACCACAACAATGGGAAAAACCTAATAGTCCATGGGGAGAGGCTGCACGCCGATTTCGCTGGCACAATAAGAGGAAGAATGTTTCTCGTCATAGTGGACGCACTCACAAAATGGCCACAAATCTATGCCATGGCAACTTGTACAGCCAGTGAAACGATCAGCAAGTTATCCGAACTGTTTAGTTGTTTTGGAGTTCCTGAGACTTTAGTGACCGATAATGAATCACAATTCACTGCAGAATCATTCAAGCACTTCTGCAACATTAATGGAATTTTTACATATACGCTATTCAACCCTATCACCCTCAATCAAATGGACAGGTTGAGCGCTTCGTCAACACATTCAAAAGAGCACTCCTGAAAGGGGATGGCGAGGGGACAAGTCAGGTAATTACGAAATTTCTAACAGCTTATAGAACTACGCCTAACCATATCGTCCCAGATGGGAAATCCCCTGCTGAAGCGATGTTCGGGAGAAAAATTCGAACTGTGTTTGACGCCATGTTGCCACCTAAACCAATGGTTGTACGCAGACAAAATCAGAATACTCGGAGTTTTAACGTTGGTGATAAAGTGCTCGTCAAGTCATACAGCGGAAAAAAGCGTTGGGAACCTGGAGTCATTGAAAAGAGGATGGGAAATGTTCTATACAAGTTGCGTGTGACTTTCGAAACGTGGATAAGACACACAATTCAAATACACAGAGAAAAAAGGATTCTAGACACCGCAGATAGTCAAGTGAGGCTTCCGCTAGAAACAGTTACATATACTCCAGTGGCAAGAACCTCAACAGACACCCATTGACATGAGATACCAAGGAAGTCCGAACACCGCAGAAAACCTGTTTCCAAGCTGCAAGTATACCCAAAGAAAAAATATTATTCGGAGGAGGTGTTAAGTCGGTTTCCAGAGAACTCCAACAGAGCCTCCAGAGGCTCAAAAAGAGACCCAACCAATAAGAGTTCGACAGAACATTCTGGAGTTCCAACGTGGCATGCTACCATTGGTCAGTAGCAATATATGTCGTCAATTGGATTGGTTGAATTAGGATGTTGATTAAACGTAAGCAAACATTTATAAATACCTACGATTTTCTGTACAAGAATGAACCTTGCAGTAAAGCGTTTCTCTGTTACTCGTGTATTCTCTCTGGTCTTCAAGTCGCTGAGTAGTGCTAGCCCTGGGGTTATCCGAATAGCTTAGGATCTGAATAAAGCGTTCAACCTAAAAGACGTATCGGTGGCCACATATGATAGAAAGTACTTTTACCTCATCGTGAGTTTACGCAAACCCATAAACTGGATTTTCGTTGCTTCAGATGTTTCTATGTCAGTCATTGGTATAGGCCTGATACTACAACGAAATATACTCATAAATACACGCAAACGGAAGCTAGTACAGGGAAACACTAAGTTATCTGTTTGCGTAACTTCTTTTCCCGGCTGTAGATTATCTCCAGACGCAATTAGGCACACAATAGATCCATTCTATCGACTATTACTCGATAAGTACTCTAGGATATACCGCCCGCAACCGAAATTGCCGTGTGTAACCAGCGATGCTGTACATCACTTCACGACTACAGGACCACCTGTTTTCTCAAAAGCACTCCGACTGGCTCCCGTAAAGCTAGCCATAAACGAATTCGACCACACGATGGAGTTAGAAGTTATTTACCGTCAAACAGCCCATAGGTATCTCCTACGCACATGGTCCTTAAAAGGCAAGGTGACGATTGGCGTCCAACTGCTGACCATCGGCGTTTGAATGCAAAAACTATTCCCAATCATTTTCCGTTACCTTAAATTCACGATTTGACAGGTACCTTGAAAGGTACAACTGTCTTTTCTACAATCGACTTAGTGAAAGCCTACAATCAAATCCCCATAGCTACTGACGATATTCCGAAAACCACTATCATAAGTCCCTTCGCACTCCACGAATTTTTGCGGATGTTTTCGGCCTAAGAAATGCTGACCAGCCTTTCCGAATGTTCACAGATAACGTTTTTAGAGATGTCAACTTTGTACATGCGTATGTTGATTTCTGCATGATAGTAAGTCCGACCTCTGAGAATCGAAGTGGCGACAATTCTGGATTACACAGAACCGACCACCAATAAGCAATTGCGCACATTAACGGTCTTATAGGCCTCTATGGACGGTTCATACGAAAATGCGCGTCCCTTATTAAACCGCTAAGCGGCCAACTTCGTGGGAATGAGGAATGTGTTAATTTGGACACCTTGCGAAAATCATTCCCCACGGTTACGGAACTCATCGCAAATGCAACCATGCTGGCACATCAGGACACTCAGGCGCCCATTAGTATCATAGTAGACGCATCCGATTGAGCGATCGAAGGAATCTTACAACTATGGGTTAACCATACCTGGCAACCTTTAGCATTTTTCTCGAGACGGTTGCTAGACACTGGATTAGAGTACAGCTTTTTCGGTGAGGAACTCCTAGCTATCTATTGTGCTGCACGGCATTTTCAACATTCTATTGAATGCCGAGAATTAACCTCTTTTACCGATCATAAACCCCTTACATTCTTTTTTCAAGCTCATCCTCAGACAAGTACTCGCCTTGTGAGTCTCAACAACTAGACTACATTTCACAGTTCAGATATACAACACATTTCTGGAGCAAACTATGTATCCTCAGGCTCATCGTCTCGTATAACGCCCTCGAATAGTTTCCGAGGAATAGACCTTCTTAAACTCGTCCGGCTTCAGAAGGAAGACACTGATCGTCAGCACGAGTTATCCTCAACAACTCTTAAACTTCACATTGAACAGATGGGAACAGGTAAGGAAACTTTACTATGTGACACATATACAGGTAGGGATCTCCCAATCGTGCCGAAACATTATCAACGCAACGTCTTCAATATGTTGCACAAGCTTTCTCATCCATGTGTTCGTGCATCCATCACGCCTATAGCAGGGCGGTTTTGCTGGCCTGGTATGAATAAAGACGTGAGGGAGTGGGTACACTCCTGTGTAAGCTGCCACAAACCTAGAGTGATCAAACACAACAAATGTCCGTTAGGCTCGTTTGAAACTCCCAATGCTCGTTTCTACCATGTTCATCTGGATTTGGTAGGACCTTTACCAGATTCAAATGGATACTCTTATCTTCTAGCCTGCGTAGACCGTTTCACACGATGGCCAGGAGCAGTACCTATTAAGGACATTACTGCTGAAAAAGTGGCTTGCGCTTTTGTCGAACGATGGGTAGCAAATTTTGGCTGCCCCTCAACTATAACTACAGACCGTGGACGCTATTTCGAATCTGGACTTTTTCGTTGTCCGACTACAATATTAGGAATCACTCGCTTCCGAAAGATCGCCTACCACCCATGTGCAAACGATTTGGTAGAATTCTCTCACAGACAATGAAAAGCTTCTCTATCAGCTGCAAACGTTTGACAGTGGACTGACGCTTGTCCACTCGTCTCACTAGGTATTCAGATCTGAGTCAATTGTGAGATAGTAACTCACTGATGACATTGGTGAATGGTTACTCAGTTTCGTGGATCAGTTGAAGTTAGACATTAACACCGTTGGATGCCAGCTCAGTGGTCTATTGGTTAAGGGCTTCGGCTCGAAACTGGTAAGTCCTGGGTTTGAATCCCGCGAGAGTGGGTTCGTGGATGTGCACTGCTGAGGAGTCCCATAATAGGACGAAACGGCCGTCCAGTGCTTCCAGGTTTTCGATGGTGGTCTAGCTTCAATTGACTCATGATCTCAACTGTATTAATTTTTTTCCATAGAAATTAACCGACAAGAGTTCTTCAAGAATTGCTTGTACGATATCACAGGTTTATTGGTTTATTTACGTTTTTCGCCCGCTTCGTGTCATTACGCGCGTTCGAGTGTATTTCGACATGCACTTGTATATTCTTTTTTCTTTTCCAGGACGGCTGGAAAAGATGATAAAAAGAACGGTGGAGTTTATGATGAACAGAAATTTTAATTGCACCTTGTTGTCTTAGGGTCATCACTACCCCACTAGGGAGGTAGTGATCTGTAGCGGTAAATAAATCCTCAAAATGAATAGCTCGGAATACCTCTGATGTGTTCAATAGTCTACAGAAATCAGGAATTTTCATCAATGGCCTCAAAAATCTTCTGTATTTCAGTGCTTCAAACTAACTTCAAAAGAGTAATGTATGTCCTCAGTCGTGAATTGATCTCTAAATTAAGGTGTTTTAATTCTCTGGCAAAGGTGCTGACCTCAGTAATCTTGCTGGACTAACCCATAGCTGAAAGCGCTCCGTCACGCATCCGTAGCATATAATGATTGGGTACTCCCTGCTTATACCATATACTTTTCGATTCATCAACTACTTTGCAAATATATTTTCAGACTTCCTCATTCCTGAATTCTGGTTCCATCAGCCGAAAAGTCCCTGCCTAAAAAGACGTTACGGACAGGATCGTTACCAGGGCTTGTATATCCATAACATTTTATGTCCTTAAGTAGCGTAAATGACATTTAAGTTGATATGACTTAGTTCTTATATATGTCTTGAGGACAGCGTTGAACAGCTAAAATTTATCGGTACTTAGTCATGGAACGTGTTCCCACTCTCATCAAGATCATGCATGGCATTTCATTTAGGCAAAGGATGGATATCACTGATGACTATATAGCAGACGATTTATGCGTGCTAATAGATGATGGGATTGTTTAGCTTACATAATCGTACATCAAAATCACACCACTCAAGAATTCCTTAGCCTGAAAAATTCCACCTTATGATCAAGCTATCCTACTATCATAAGAAACTGACAATGGCTTACCAGAATGATGTGAGTTGAAGAAAACAGATTAGAGAAGTGTATTTTATTTCCTCTGCAGGATGCTTCAGATCATGTTGATGAATTAACAATCCACACTGATCATCTGTCACCTGGACGATATGTGGAATAAGATTTGGCGTCTAATGATATCTCCTATAATTTAAATGTGTTCAGTTCGACGGACAACTCGGGTACGTTTCAGTGACATTTCACTGACCCAATGTATAGATAAGTATTTCTCTACTCAGAGACATTATGCTGATCTGAAAACTCTTCGTAGAAATAGTGTGTACGTGTATTCGTCTATATTATGAACTAAAAGATGGTTTGCGTGTTCTGTACTGAAAATGATTGTTAGTCTCCTTAGGCAGAAGCAAAGTTGAAACAAAAAGAACCTTGTGTCAACACTCGGGACGCTATTGAACAGCAGGAATCGCCTCATAACGTTAAAGTGTAGGCAAAGTAAGGCAGTTATTTGTTTCCAAATCACGTAAGATATGTCGAATATAAAGCGATGCCAAGACCTTTACATGAAATGACACATAAATTTTGATGGATATTTGGGCGCTGGCAAATATCAAAAACCTACTTGTGAATTTACCACGTGATAATAAAAAAATTATACATGTGTACATATTATTATAATAAAATTGTCACAGTTTCAGCTAATCTGCACCTGCAGAAGAGTGCATTCCTTTCACTTGCCACTTTCGTTCGTACTTACTAAATTCAAGTTTCATGAACTGTCGAGAATGGTTCGCATTTTCGTAATTTGGCCTTGAGGTTAGATGCAAAATATATTCCAGCCTCATCCGTTTTCTACAACAATTGGAACTCTGACAGGTATATCAATATTTTTATATTCGTAGATGGAACATTTTTTTCCTAGAAAGAGCGACTGATAGTGGTCAGCCATCAGAAGATTGGGCTCTGATTTTGGAAATATGCGACACAGTAAATGAAACAGATGATGGGTGAGCCTTTAAAAAACATATTTCTGATTTTATAGGCCTAAGGAGGCTATTAGAGCGATCAAGAAACGTCTCGTCACTTCTGCAGGCAAGGACAATGTTTCAATATGGTACACATTAACGCTCCTGGAAACTTTAATAAAGAACTGTGGGAAAAGATTTCACAGTCAGGTCGCCAACAAAGAGTTTCTGCATGCTTTTTTAAAACTTTTATCGCCTAAAAATGACCCTCCACAACAACTACAGACAAAGGTTTTGTACATGCTTAAGGTAATTACATTCAAATTGTTGACGATCTTCCTAGTGTTGGATATCAAGTAACTGGGATGTCGCTGGTAAGCGGGATTTGGAAAAAATATATGCCTCACTTTTACAAAAAGGAGTGCAATTTCCAACGGTTGCACCAGTTGACTGTTATGTAGCAAAACCGTCAAGAGGCGTAAGTTTGACTGTTGGTTTTTGATTTTTATGTAACCGTTTATACTTGAACTTAAATCACTCACCAACGTAACACAACCAGTAAAGGTAGTTTTCATAGGTACACTTATTGTGACGAGTTGGAAGAGGCTACTAAAATTTGTGAGCACAGTAAAAACTACAGTAAAATCGTTCCTATTTAAGTGACCCGATATCTGACTCTATTTGGATCGTATGTATGATTGTCATTGAAACATAAATGTCTCCAACCCTTGCATATAATTATTAACTTAACTTGCGTTAGTGAATAACGGAATTAAATGAGTCAAGTACAAGAATGGATTTAGAATACACACTTCATGCAAACGATCAGAGAAACGAAGCGGAGAAAGTAAAGTGAAATGACACGCGGTGGAGAAGGCGAGTGAGCCAACTCAATTTAATCAAACATTAATCGATATTTATAGTCAGACGAAAACAAGTTACGGACATGTGGTGAATAGGGTAAGCAATACACTGACACACTATCTTATAAAAACAGTGAGGATTAATAAGCAAATAATTAACAAGGTCAAATTTGACCTAAGAAGGGTGAATAAATTGTCCTGCCTGGAAGCTAGAATAAGTTACGTGGGCTTGACATATCATCCGACAATAAACTGTCTTTCATCCTAAACCGTATCTTTTGGTTTCTCATTTTTTACGGTCTGAGAATTCCCACAGTCATGATGAAACAACATATGCTAGTCTAACGGTCAATCTCTTCAAGACTTCATTTGATGGACTTAACATTTTCTTAGTTTTTCATCCAGCCCCAGAGTCGTGAATAATGCTTTATATGTAAATCACTGAGACGACGTTTATAAGACGTAAGCCAATGATGATAATTACGTACGCTGCACTATTTAAAAACTATGATGTTGAGGATACCACGGATATTCTAGTTTTACAACTAGCAACCAGTAGTATCTTCAATAATCGATCGTTCCCAGTCGAATAGAAACCAGAAGCCAGACGAGGAGAGGTAGGAAAGATATATTTGATACGTTACCAATATATCGAGGAACCTTTACTATAAGCTGGCTAATGAACGTAGGAGCAGTGTCCCACGCCGAGTTGAAAGGTGATCGGTTACGGATGCATGACCGAAGGCCTTCAGTTAAACAAGTCCACTTAAACAACGTGGTCAGCATCCAATGTCGAACACTTAATGAGCTATTGATTTTGGGGAATTATTTACAGCTACAATGTATTTATTATAGTTCAAGAGAAATGCAGTTAGCGTCAGATGTGTATAAATCGTCTCATCAAATTAGAATTCATAGTAGTCATGTGACAACAAGTATACTGAAGTTGGTTATTTTTGTTTCCGGACAATTTTTTAAAATTCATTTTGTGTGACTAAACATATGATTTACGCTCCATGGAATTTAGAAGATTCTTTTTAAAACAAACCGACATCCACGATATTTAGGGGCGTTAACACCTATTATTATATAGAACTAAATCATTTCATATTGGCCTATTGCAAACTTTTTCCAACAGGGTGATAAATGTGTAATTTCTATTACGACATCACTGTTAGTTTGTGTCGTCTAGTCATAATTGCATTTGAATGAAGTTTATTTGACAATTAAGCCAAAAATAAATGAATTCATTATATATCTTGGTTGTTTTGGCTTTACTAAAACCTATAAACTTGAGCAATTGTACAGGATTTTTAATCTCATTATAGATGATTTTACAACAAACACCGAAGTATGATGAATTCTAGCATTTATCTGACCACTATACTCTGGAAACATTTCAACAGATTCGGTTTCAGGCCTCGCAGTGAAAAGGTGTACATCGAAAGAGAGTGGTGTTCGTCAAACTTATACACTTTCTTAGTCAAAGTATACACATCCTAACGGCTGTACTAAGTAATATTACACTTAACAGTTGTATAAACGAATATTTTTATGAAGAGATCATTTCAGTAGTTAGATGATTGGAAACATAATGATTTAGTCTCTTTTTATCTTAAAAACTATTTTAGTTGCGTGATAGTTTGGTTACATCTAAAACTGGTGTAACTTTTCCGCGAACTGGTCCACAAGAAAATGAGAAATTACCTGGAAGATCTGTAGTAATTAAAAGTTCTGGAACGGGTAAGGTAATTTTATTTCGTTCAATGAAGTGTTTACCAGTGATTGGACTGATTTAGATTTTTTATTTATAACTTGATTTCTGCTGAAGAGGAGTTTTCTTTCAATTTAGGATCCTTCAGCAAGGATAACTTACGATATTAATATTATTTCTCAGTAACACCTAGCTAATTGATGCAAAAGAGTTGTGGTTCAATATGCTAATAATAAAGAAGTTATATTAAATAAAACAATGACGATGAATAACAATTTCTTCTTCTCTGTTTCTTATATTACATTAAGCTGTAAAAATATTTTTTAATATTTAAACACATAAATATTGGTACAAGGGGGCACCAGGTATATATGCGCCGCACAAATATCATTTGAGTTGTGTGAGAGCTGCGATGCTGTCCAGGTGCCCAAACTGAAACAGATGGTTTTCTTACTAGGCCACAGCCGAAGACCTTGATCTGAAGGTCTGATCCACAAGGCAGTGAAGCATCGTGAGGAGATACCGCTCGATGGTAGCCTGTGACTAACGATTATTTCATACGCCATCTTTTCCCTCAGGATACTGAAGCCAGCCCATGTACACCATTGGTTTGGCATCAGAGTTTTCCAACTCCCTTAGGTGGACTTTCCGTGTTCGCCAACACGGTTAAACCGTCGGATATTCACTTTTCGTCCTCTCAATTTCGTAAACAACACCCGTGGTGCGGGAAGGCGGTGAGTAGGACTTCCCTGTCAGAGGCTATATACGCGTGGTCATATGAGAGCATTTCGAGAGGGAACCATATTAATTGTTTTTATTTATTGCCTTGTATTTACTTCTATTTAGGTGAACGATTTGAATTGTTTACTTTTTTTTCAAATCCATTTAGAATCAGATACCCATTTACATAATCATTTATCTATAAATCCATCAAGTTCAATTGTATTACATCCATGCTCTATTTGTCATTGTATACATGAATCAAATATTCAATCATTAGCTTGTCATAATCTTAGTTCAAAACCTAATATTCATCCTAATAGTTCTTCTGTATCCTCATATAATCGTTCAATACGTAATGTACATTTTAATGATACAATTCAAAATAGATCACAAAGTAGTGTTATACCAAATGATTGTACTGTAATGGTTGTTAAATCGGGTAAGTTATTAAGGTTTTCTATGAATTAAACTTTGATTAACAACATTTATTTTTGTATTTTACAAATTAACTTTGTAACTTCCAAACTGATGTTGTTTAACTTCTGTATAGTCTTGGATGAGACATTAGGCACTTGTATATCCCCACAGGTAATTTCAAAACAATGGTTGGGGTGGATACGGTTTTGATAATGAACACTGTGGATATGAGTTTGGAGTGAGGGTTTCCCAACTCCCCTAGGTGGACTTTCCGTGTGCATCAACCCGGTTAGAGCGCCGGCCATTCTCTTTTCGTGCTCTCAATTTCGTAAACAACACCCGTGGTGCGAGAAGGCATTGAGTAGGACTTGCCTGACGGGCTATATACGCGTGGTCATGGGAGAGTATTTCGAGAGGGAGAGCTGACTTTTCCCCCTCTTGGTCGTACCAACGTATTTGGGGGCCTGACCACTAATAAGGTTAGATTTAGTATGCTAGACAAATATGACAAATTGATTGATGATGTTGTTAATATTCACCTCCTGAGGTGATTGTGACGTGTTATGTATAATTCAATTGCAACCCATCTTAAAGTGTGATGTTAGCTGATTGATGAATAAATTTCCGATTTGAGAATCTTCATGTTTATGACATAAGCCTCAATAATATGTGATTAACATATACCTCAACATCAGAAAGGGGTTTTGTGGAGATTTTAGTAATTTTATATAGTTGAAATTATGAGTTAATTGAAGCTAGACCATCATGAAAAACCTGCAAGCACTGGAAGGTAGATGTGTCGCTCAATTTCGTGGGTCGGTTTAAGTTAGGCATTAACACTGTTGGAAGCCGGCTAGCTCAGTGGTCTAGAGGTTAAGCGTTCTCACGCTAGACTGAAGGTCCTAGATTCGAATCTAGCGATGTAGGATCGCGGGTGCGCATTACTGAGGAGTCCCACAATAGGATGAAACGGCCATCCAGTGGTTCCAGGTTTTTCATGGTGGTCTAGCTTCAATTGACTCATGATTTCAACTATATATCTGTTTCAACAGCTGAAATCAATAAGGTTTCCCAACCTCATCTATCAATTTTCTGTTTTTGTCTCGTACTTAAATTTTTAACTTCCAAAATCATTCTTGGTTAAAATAAAAAAAAAACAAACATTTTAGTCTGTTGATCAATCAAGTAGGAATTTAGATTTCTACTCTGAATTTGAAGTCATCATACTGCATAGTTCAGATAATCTTATTAGTCAGTTAGTTCTGCGATTGGGTAGGTTGCTTACTTACTTACACCTGTTACCCCTCGTGGAGGAGCATAGGCCTCACACCAGTTTTCTCCATCTAACCCTGTCCTGGGCAATCCTTTTCAGTTCCTTCTAGTTGTTACTCCTACTTTTTCAAATCTGCTTCTATTTCCCGACGCAATGTTCTTTGGCCTTCCTCTTCTCAGTTTCAATTCAGAATTCCAAGTGAGTGACTGCCTCGTGATACAGCTTGATGATTCCCTTAATGTATTTCTTATCCACTTTCAACGTCTTTTCCTATTTTCCTCTTCATCTGGAAGCTTGTTTGCCTTCTCCCATAAAAGGCTATTGCTGATAGTATCCGGCCAGTGAATGTTGAGTATTTTGCGTAAACAACTGTTTATAAATATTTGTACCTTTTTACGATGGATATAGTAGTTCTCCAAGTTTCAGCTCCGTAAAGTAGGACTATTTTATGAAAAACCAATATATAATCCACTAATTTACAATTATTTTTCAGTTACCAAGGTTTCTATTTCTACATTGTGTATATTAAAGACTATTTTATTAATTTCTTTCAGTTTTAGAAAGTTGTCTCATTTGTTTCAGTTTAATCTACAGAAAGGATTATCACATTATAGTGAAGTATTTTCTTTTCAAAACTAAATGCAAATATCCACTTCATTGTGAATAGCAACGTTTATTATTATTACTATTAACGTTGTTGTCCAACCTGTATCCAATGTGTTTCACTGATTTCAAGCACCCCCAGGTTGTATTTCTTCATTTCTCAATCAATTTAGAAGACTCTTCTGGTCTCCCACATTGTCCGGACGTTCCATATACATATAAAAATTGTTGCTCTATGTTGTTAAAAGGTGCATCGGTCTCATGACTTCCGAAGGAACTCGGCTTTCATCATGAGACGTCATAATTCTTCCTTCAACTCAGAGGGCAGAGTTTAAATAGTTTGAATAATTTTTTCTGGTCAGCGTTTTTTTAGCGAGTTAGTTTTCTACGGGATGGGGTCACTAACCCCATGCCCAACCCTCCTCCTTTATCCGGTCTTGGGACCGGCAGTAACCCCCGGAGGAGCTACAGGAGGTGTTATTATCACTATTATCATTACCATTATTATTATTATTTGTAATTTGTAGATAATCAATCATCTTCTTTACCGTATTCACATCAATCACAAATACATCATTTACCTTCATCAAATAATAAATATCAACAAATGAATACAAATTATTCAATGAATACTAATGATGATGAAATGGAATTGGATGAAGATGGTATTGTACGTCATTTAAATACATCACAACGTATTAAATTAACAGAAGATTTATCTATTGTTGAAACAAATATTAATGTATTAAATGATTTATTAGCTGAATTAAGACCAGATACTGTAACTGTAGATGATTTGAATTTACTCAAGGTAAGTATATAAATATCTTGTAGATTTCTATGAACTTATATATATATATATATATATATATATATATATATATATATATGCCTTCATGGATGTGTTGAAGATAAACTTCTGTTTTGAATCAGATCGATGTGTATCTACAAGGATACTTGCTCTTCAGTGGGTAGGTTACATTCACTGAACACTTTTTGGGTGGATCTTAGAACATTACTCAGCTAATAATTTTAAGAGGGGAATGTTAAATAAACAATAGTCAGTCAGCTACAATGTATGACCAGGCACATTTATGTATCGGTCCAAGTTGACGTACCTCGTCAGCACAACAACATGAACACCGGATTCATAGAAATAATTAATTTAGTGGCGGTAATATATAAAAGATAGGTTGTATATAATGATATAGTATAGGAAGGAAGAACTTTATGAAGGAATTTTGATCTTAAGGTTTAAAGGAAGATAAAGAGTGTATACACCTACTCCATTGTGATCGATTCCAAGCCATGTGACTTAGAGTCTCCAACCATTGGTTACGATGTTCACGCGGACCCTATATATATATATATCTTCATGAATGTGTTGAAGATAAACTTTCGCTTTAGATCAGATCGATGTGTATCTACAAGAATACTTGATCTTGAGTGGTAGGTTACATTGACTGAACACTTTTTAAATGAATCTTAGAACATTATTCAGTTAAGAATTTTAAGAGAGGAATGTTAAATAAACAATAACTCAATACAAAAGCATTAAATCGAATTTGGGCACTTTGTGTCAAAGGGATTTTACTTAAAAAGAATATATATGGGTTCAAAAGATTGTGATCAAAGGGAGGTTGCATCAAAAACTTATACACTGTTTAGATATTGGTGTGATGTGCGCTACTGATGTTGACAGATATAGGTAGTATGTATCATCAATCGAAAGTGAAATGTCTGGAGGCAGAAGGTTAAGAAGATCAAAGAAAAAAGAACGAGAACAGGGAATGATTGGTGTCGAAACAAAAGAACAATGAAGTCTGAGACGATTGATTGACATTTGCACAAGGAACACGAGACTGATAGATCCTGTGTTGCAGTCCCGCAAGGCGGGATCTTGGATGCGCACTGCTGAGGAACCTTGCCATAGGTTGAAAAGGCCATTCAGTGCTTGCAGGTTTTCCAGGGTGTCCTAGCTTCAATTGACTCATGATTACAACTATATATAGAAAAAATCTGTTGAAAGTACCGGATACAACATAATTATTAAACATTATTATCAGTATAAACAAAGATCGATAGTGGCTAGCAGTGGAATCCAGAACGCACGTTTTAGTCCTATTTGAGACTCGTCAGCTGGATGTACCTGCATTTCAGAGTTGATGTTCACTCTCGGACTCGAACCCAATACCATTCGCTTCAAAAGCCATCGTGTTATCCATTCAGCTACTGAGTGCTGATAGTCACTTGCTTGTGCAAATGGGGTCTCAAATAGGACGGAACGCGTTTCCTGAATTCCACTTTTAGCCACTATCCATCTTTACTTATATTGCTTGTAAAATTAAGGCTATATCGAGGCAATACACACAGTATGCACATATGCTAGTAATAAGAGGCTGATCAATTGCAGTCCTAAACATTAATGAATGATTAATAGTGTGTTTACGGATCATATTATCCTTAATTCTGTCATGAAGAAGTCGTGTTCATATAAGATATTGAATTGTCTAAGGAATAATTATTTCAAAATTGATTTGGTCTATATTGTATTCAATAGAGATCTAATTCTGTTGACCTAAATAAGGATAATAATATATGTAATTGACTATAGGATAAATAGTTGAAGATTTGTTCAATAATAAAGGATGAATGATCATTTTATCCTTTATCATATTTCACATTTCATTAGTTCGTTCATTATTGAATGTATAGTAGTTAAGTAATGATAGTTTGAACCCTAATGATATCATGACCTTAGATGAACTGTAGAATAAAATCTAAAAACAAAAAAACAAAAGATTTTAATTAATTGAGAAGAATACTTCTTCATTCAATTTTGTGTTAGTTATTTGAATCTTTTCATTGATGGTTAGGAGTGTATGGGCATCCTGTGCGGATTGCTTCGATATTGCCTTCAGTTAGTAGTTAATTAGATAACGCGATGACGTTTGCAGCGAATGGTACTGTGCTCGTGTTCCAGAGTGACAATCAAGTCTGGGATGCATGTACATCCAACTGCTGCTACCTTGATGTGGTGATCAGGCTTGCCTAATCGAGCTATACTGGCTGGAACAATCGTTCCTCAAGGTCCTACCATGCCAGGCAGGTCGGTTGAAGAGCGGTAAGATTAAAAGCAAAAAAAAACTCAAGGTCCGAAGGCGAAGTTGTACTTCTGACTGTACAGAGGTGTGACAGCAGTAAGGTGTTTCTTTCAAACAACCAGCATAACAGAGATGCTGCCTTCCCACAAGGAGGGGTGGGGTTAGAAAAGGTCGACCCTAAAAATGCACACCTCGCCTTATCCCACGGATATCCGTCTCCGGCGGTTAGGTCCCAACAAGTACGGAGCTAACACAAAGCTACCCACAAAAAGGTCGTGTGAAACCAACCTCAAGCAGTTGTCCCTTGGGCACTGCGGTCACGCTCTCAGGTCATTAAGACCACTTCTAACCCAATTTCCTTTTCAGGCACCTCTAGAAGAACCCTTCCACGGTGTGGGCAACCGCGAAGTGATAACTGCCCTTATACCTCTAACAGCGCTCAATACCTATTGTGATGAGTTCCTAAAAGGACGAAACGCGCGTCCTCTGCTAGCCACCATCATTTTTGTTTATAAATTTTCTCCATATTTTTATTGAAATAATTAAAAATTATTTAGGCATAAAGTAAGTGGTTCATTTATCATTGAAAAAAATAACGACGCAATTTTGTAGATTTTTGTGCAAAATATCTGTAGTTAATAGAACACTGGTGGGGACAATCGAATCCACTTGATGTCACCTCTCCGCACCAGACTGCCCCAACTAGCACCTCGACTCCAAGCCCGCAACGACATCCACAGAACAGCACCCTTCCTCCTCCTGGTTGGCAGCGACACCAAATCTAGCGAATAAGAACACGATTGGGAATAAGTGAATGTGTTTAGGCACAAATTACAGACTATCTCACTAAATTCTGACAACCATACAGTTAACAGTTAATTTGCAAAATAACAATCAATGATCTCAATCTTCACTGTTCCCTCTGTAAATATCCGTTCATCTTCTCTAATTCCATTGTTAATGCATTTTCGTACCGATTGCGCTTCATTTCAGTTCTTTCCTTATCGATCTTCTGCCAAAATACATTCTGTCTGACTCTAACCATATACTACTTATATGGATATAAGTAGACCACTCCACATAGCCAGTATAACGAATAGTGTAATATATTTTCGTATATTTCTTAATCCATTTAATATGATAGCGAAAAAATTGTTTGACAACCATAGTGCAAAAAACAATAGTTTTAAACGCACTAAGTGAATAGTTCTGTTTCATTGTGTAACAACATTATATAACAACGAGTAAGTCGACATTATCACTGAGCCGTGATCACAAACCCTTTATTGAAGAATAAACCTCAATTTGGTGCTACCATATATTATCAATGAATTAACCAAATAGACCTTGTGTCTATCTTCGTACAAAATTCACTTATCCATATGGTAACAGAGAGTTTTTATATTATCTGTGAAATAAGTTCATGATGATCATCGTAAGCTTACTTACTCATCGTAAGAATCCCTACATTTTTCCTGGTTGGGGTTAAAGTAACTGTTAACTGTTAAGGATTATTAATTACAGTTTTTATTACGAACTTATATCAAATATAATGTAGACATGCTCTGTAGCTATATGGATAAATGAATTTTGCGCGAAAATAGAAGAGGGACTATCTGACTAATTCATCGATAATAATGCGCTGGTATCATATTGAGGACTGTTCCTCGATAAAAGGTTTATGGTCATGACTCAGAGATAGTGTCCTAATGGAGATGATAGTAGCTAAGATTCTATAATTATACTTCCAAAAATCATGCCAGTTGTGTCAGAGAGCAATAATAATCGTATGTCATGAGTTAATAGGTCTACTGATAGTTTACAACGATGAAAATATAGAAATACATTGATAAAGTTATCTACTAACTAACTATACAATGAAAATATAAATAATGATAATAGTAATCCGTAAATCAGTCTCAAGAGTTACACTGCCTTCAGTATTCACCCCACTATGAAACCCTCTGCCGGTTTCTAACCATATGACATCTTAATGTAGCGCAAATGATGTTGAGTAACTTATACCAAAAACCAATATATTACAACCTGATTTATAGGATTCAATCAGGAGTAAATGACTAAATAAACGCTTCATTAACCACTACTCAGTAACTAAGCAATTGCAAATATTTCTCATTCCTACAAAAAGTTGATCTTTGCCCAAATAGCTCGTCAGTAAAACCTCTGATTATGAGGCTGGGTAACATGAGGTCGATTCCCTTAAGGCTCATCAGTTTCCTCGAGTTTAGAAATACACCTTGCTAGTGAGTATCGAATAGCACGAAACTTAGCTGTCGATTATGCATTTAACTATCTCCGACGACTATCTTATACTTCTACGTAGTACGCTCAATAACAAGTCACTTAGACTAGGAGTCACACTGCAACTTAATCGATAAAATTCAATGAGCACTAAAGGATTAGACAAAAATGAACTTAGTCACTACAACTTGATGGTCGATCAAATGTCTCATTAATGATTGAATATTCATTGGTAAATTTAAATTATGTTCCATTATGGACTAAGAGTGAGTCGAAGATATTTAAAATGTTGACAGTTAATAGTTCTGTGAATATCTTTTCAGGAGATGTGAGTCATTTTAAAATATGAGTTTGAATTGAAGGCGATATTTTACATTTTGAAACTAACTAGTTCTTTTAAGCAAAGATGAATAGTGGCTAGCAATGGAATCTAGGACGCGCGTTTCGTCCTATTTCGGACTCATCAGCTGGATGTACTTGCCTCTCAGAGTTGATGTTCACTCTGGGACTCGAACCCAGTACCTAACTAGTTCTTTGTAAAGTGTTGTGTACGTATTTTTACTTAAGCTCCTAGAAGATTTTTTAACGTCTATACTATTCTAATGGTTTTAAATGTAACTAAACATCAGTGAGGTGTAACATTCAAGTCATTACATATGATAATTCTTAAATTATCTTCGATATGAATTGACTATAAAGGTATTTTGTCACCTTTTTGTTTTACAGTTTCACTCTTACCATATTTGAAATGTATAAAGATGCTCTTGATTGTATTGACAGACTTCAACTATATCTTGAAACAACGTTGAAATTAACTTGAAATAATTGTACATCATTTTTCTATGGAAAAAAAAACAACTATTGAACTGTAGATATTACTTAGTCAGTGAGTCGGTTAGCTAAAACGTAGGACTAGGCACATATATTCATCGATCCAAGTTGCCATACCTCGTTAGCACAACATGATGAACACCAAATTCATAGTCGTTAATTTAGTGGTGATAATATATAAAAGAAAGGTTGTATATAAGAATATAGTAAAGGTAGGAAAAAAGTTATGAAGAAATTTTAATCTCAAGGTTTAAGGGAAGATAAAGAGTGTATACACCGGTGTAATTGTGATCGATTCTGAGCCATGTCACCTAGAGTCTCCAACCATTGATTACGATAGTCACGTGGACCCCAAACAAGTAGTTTGAATCTACCAACATGTCTCACACTAGAAGTTAGTGACTTCGTGGACTGATGCCACGTTTTTGTTTGTCCGCCCCTAACTTTCTTCCAAGCATCGTCAATACTAGTCAACATAGCGCATTGTGGTAATCAGAGTTCAGGCATACGTAACACGTGTCCCAACCATCTCAGTCGAAGAAGATTCATGGCCTCATCAACTGATTTACCAGATATTACTTAATTGATCATTCATATAGAATATGTTTAATTAATCATCTAATAATATTCAATCTTTATAATGCTTCTATTATTTATAATAGGAATTAAATTGTACATGTCGTATTATGCATCAACGTGTTATGGAATTTTTAAGTCAAGTATCTGATGAAGAAGTAACTAATAATTTAATTCAAGTTAATGAAAATTTAACAAATACACTTTCACGGTTAGTTTATGCTTATTAGTATCATATAAATAGTTTAATTTATCATTTTGTTTTTTTTTATATAGTTGAGATCATGAGTCAATCGGAGATAGATCACCATGGAAAACCTGGAAGCACTGGATGGCCGTTTCGTCCTAGTGTAGGACTCCTCAGCAGTGCGTATCCACGATTCGGATCTGTTGTGAGATAGTAACTCACTGAAGACAATAGTGGATGTGTTGCTGAATTTTGTGGATTAGTTGAATTTAGACATTAACAACATTAGATGCCGGCTCATTGGTCTAGAGGTTAAGCGTTTGCACGCGAGACTGATAGGTCCTGGATTGGAATCTGGTAAGGCGGGGTTGTAGATACGCACTGCTGAGGAGTCCCACAATAAGACGAAACGGCCATCCAGTGCTTCCAGGTTTTCCATGGTTGTCTAGCTTCAATTGACTCATGATTTCAACTATTGAAATTACTATAATATTCATAAAACCCCTTTCTTATAATTTTGTGTTATATTTGAAGGGTGTAAATTTTGATTATTTGAATGTTTTATATTGGATCATGTGTAATCAGTTCATAATCTCTCTTTTATACTCTCTCTAGTTCATTTATCTATTAGTTGACTCATATTGACAATAGAACCGATAACATTCTATAAATCAACTAACACATTAACTAATGAATCATATTTAGGAAGTATAGACTCTTATTTATCCTGGAGTTCTTTCTAATCCAGTGATCAGTTAGAAGAAAAGAAATAGTAGAAAGCAGATCAGTTCTCTATTGTGCTCAATTTGATTATGACTAAAGAGTCTAATAATAATATACTTGAAACATTTGATTACACAGCAACACATTTACACAATCATAATGGATACATAACTTAGTCATAAGTGATATACAACTAGATAAATAGGGGGATAAATTATTAACCAGTACGTGGTTGTGAACTTTGTTGTTTATTTATTTTATTATTTATTTCAACACATAAATATTGGTACAAGGAAGCACCAGATACATATGCGCCACACAAATCAAATGAGATTTGTGTGAGGGCTGTGATACTGCCTGGGTGCCCAAAGTGAAGCAGGTGGTTTGCCTAGGGAGCCACACTTGGAGCCTTTGACCTAAACGTCTAATCCACAAGACAGTGGATCATCGTGAGGAGATACAGTCTCATGATAGATGGTGACCAACGATTGATTCATACGCCATTTTCTAGTTCAGGATACTGGAGCCCTCGTGCACCATTGGTTTGGAATGGGGGTTTTCCAACTCCTCTTGGTGGACTTTCTGTGTCCACCAACCCTATTAAAGCGCCAGACATTCTCTTTTCGTGCTCTCAGTTTCGTAAACAACACCCACGGTGCGAGAAGGCAGTGATTAAGACTTCCCTGATAGAGGCTATATACGCGTGGCTTATGTGAGAGCATTTCGAGAGGAAGACTGGACTCTTCCCACTCTCGACCGTACCAGGGCATTTGGGGGCAAGTTTGTTAAATTTCCTTGAGATCATAAACTAATAAAAACCTGGAAGCAGTAGATAACCGTTTTGTCCTAGTATGAGACTCCTCAACAGTGCTCATTAATTAATAATAAACCTTGGATAATAAAAAATGATGATGAAGATTTATGAATCAAAAGAAAGCGTCGAAATAGGCGAATATAAATTACAACAGTCCAAGTGTTCTTTATATATCAGTTTCAAAAGTTATATTTCCACGTCAATTCCCTTCATTATATCCTTTTGCTGATAGATTTCAATCAGCATTAAGTGATTAGACAGACTATAAAGTCGATTACTTCTAAACAATCAGTCAATGTGGAAATATTCGATTTCTATTAAAAATCGGATCATTTGTGGCTTGAGTAGTCTAGTCTAGTAATTTCTCCGATGATGAAATGTGTGAATAATGTTGTCGACCACTTCGAATCGCTGAACATTAAATTATCCGAAATAATGTGTCAAACAGACAATATAAAACGTGACATGAATATGTATTCATTCAAGTCACTACATCTTACATTCATATTAATTCATAGAAAATCAATAATTTAAGGAATTGAAAAGAAAATTAGACATGAAATATCATATCTCAAAAAGAACAACATGAGATCAAAGAACTGAAAGCTATTCTACTAATAACATTGAAAGATGATTGTATATATAGTGCAAGCGGTGTCGAGCCACCTAGACTGGTGGCCACATTGCAACTCGATTGATAGCATTCGATCAGCACTAAGAAGGATCTGACATGCATGAGATTGATCACCACCCAGTGATCAATCAATTGTGATTGAAAGATGGTTGTGTTTTAATATTATGAATTGACTATAGTTAGAAATATAAATTATTTGATGCTAACTCATTGATCTACATAGTTTAATATTCATCATGGATCCTGTAAGTTCTTAGTTACAATCATCATTAGGGTTGTAGATAAACATTCTAAAATATCAGAAACGTTTCTGAACAGTTTTTTTTTCTCTTTTGTTGTATTTAATCTAGACGATAAATAAAATCTAAGTCAAATGTTGTTTCAGTGAAAGGATATAATAAAATTCCTTGTAACTTATTACATTTTTCTAGTTAACATCACAGAAATAATGTTAATTACACATGAATATTAACGTCCAGAAAGTCAGTCAGTCAGCTACAACGTAGGACCTGGTACATTTATACATCGGTCCAAGTTGCCATACCTCGTTAACACAACAACATGAACACCAAACTCATAGAAATAGTTAATTTTGTGGTGATAATATATAAAAGTTTGTATAAAAGGATATAGTATAGGAAGGAAGAACTTTATGAAGCAATTTTGATCTTAAGGTTTAAGGGAAGATAAAGAGTGTATACACCGGTGTAATTGTGATCGATTCTGAGCCATTTCACCTAGAGTCTCCAACCATTGATTAAGATAGTCATGTGGACCCCAAACAAGTAGTCTGTATCTACCATCAACATGGCTCAGACTAGAAGTTAGTGACTTCGTGGACTGATGCCATGTTTTGGTTTGGCTGCTCCTAACTTTCTTCTAACCATCGTCAATACTAGTTAGCATTGAGCGTAGTGGTAATCGGTGTTCAGGCATACTTAACACGTGACCCAATCATCTCAGTGGATGAAGATTCATGACCTCATCAACTGATTTACCATCATTCCCTACTACCTTGCGTCTAGCCTCACTATTACTTACCCGGTGTTCCCAGAAGATGCGAGAAATATTTCTTAAAGCATCTGTGGTCCAATAATAGTAACTTATGATTATCTTCTACTCTTAATGGCCATATTTCACAAGCATACGGTAGAACAGAGCGAACTGCCACATAGTATACTCATCCTTTAATTAATAGACAGATATCTCATTTTCTCTATAGGTGACGTAATTTGATCAAAGTCAAACGAGCTTTTTAAATCCTTACAGTGATTTCATCAGATACCACAACCCATTAGAACTGACCAGACTTTCAAGATAAGTGAAGTTTGTCGATGTGTTCGACTACTTCACACTCCCTATCATTAGTTCAAATGTTAACACAGATCAATCAATCCATTAAAGATTGAATCCATCTTTACTAAATTTGTTTTATAATTAAACTTTTTATATTTTTCACTTCCTGTTTTATTTATATATAACTGAATATGTAACTATTAGGATAGTAACATAGAATTTCATTGTTTATTATCATAGTTAAAGGTATATGATGAATGAAAACTTGAATATGTATAATTGTTTTGTTGTGATTTAATGAAATATCAATATCATCATACATCATATATCGTACATCTTCCTTGAATGGTCTCTTAGATGTTTTATTGTTCATTCATTCCTGTTGTTATCTTGATTGTTTTCAATTTTCTTTCTCTCTTTTCAATCTTTTACTTGCAGACATTCTACTTCTGAATGGTATTACATACTACTTGTATCTTCAAACATAAGTAGCATAAACCACAAGTATATCTTATAGTACAGTAGAATATCCTCTCCCCCCCACTGGATTCTACTATATGACATAGCTGATAGTATCTTAAACAACTTAGTTTTATTACTCTCGTATAAGGAATTATTACTGAATCACAGTTACTAGTCATATTTTCCATTTCATGAAATCATATCATGACCACTAATGTGGTTTTTTCATCCAGTCTCAGAATTGGAGAATATTTTATATATTTATTTATTTAAACACATAAATATTGATAAAAAGAGGCAGCAGATATATACGCGGAACAGGATGATGAGGAATATACCAACAAACAGCATCACTGTCAAATCCCTCCTTACTAACTTCAATGATGTAGCCCTTACTTAAATGTTTATTCATCCCAGCTTGATATTTCTGCAGAAGACTATTATCTTTCATAAACCTTTTCCTTAAACACTCTAGTCTGCGTTCAGCCAGTTCCAAATTATTCGGAAGACTTGGCCTATCATACTTCCACGGTAGACTAACTTGAAAATGGCCGCCTTACAGTTTAAAGGAACTACTATCTATTTCTAGAGCTCTTTTATCTTCGACAGAATATCCATTACGAAACGTATCTGTATTCTCGAACTCATGATTATATAATCTTTCTATATCTCGCAAAATATCATTAGAACAATGACACCACTGAACTTGATGTAGAGACCTTGATGCCCCCTTAGGACCTATAATCATCCAACCGAGATGGGTTCGCACAGCAAACGGATGCTTCCTGTCCCCCAGACGTTGTTCCAAGACTCAATGTGCATCCGGAGCATCACACCCAATCAATACCCCTACAAAATTACTTTGCAACCTCGGAAGGGTTATGTCCTTTAAATTTTTCCACCTATTTAGTTGGAGTTCGGTTAAAGGTGCTGCATGATCGATCGGAAGTTTCTTGGTCGTGTAAACTTTGTTGATCCTTATAGAACCCCGTTCATCTAATGAAAATACCTCTAAATTTACCTCAAAACATTCACAATTGGTAGTTCCGTTCATAGTCGCCACCCTTATCGAAGTCTCTTTACCTTGGATACCCA